AGAGGAAGAGGAAAGAGAGAGGAAGAGGAAAGAGAGAGGAAGAGGAAAGAGAGAGGAAGAGGAAAGAGAGAGGAAGAGCAAAGAAAAAAAAAACATAACCAAAAGAAGGTTCAAGTTGAAGGAAGAAAGATGAGGTGCAATACCTACTGTGTAAGTTCGCGCTAATAAACAAACTACACGCGTAGGGTTTGATTATATGTACCTTACCTACGGTGTAGGTACTGTATGTAGGTACATGTAGAAAACCCACGGTGGCAGGCAGCATTACATCCGTATTTCAACACCCTTGGTTCACCAAGGTCCACTGATGAGTGAGCAGCAACACAGACCCTCTTACTACCTCTCCACTTCACGCAAACATTCAGCCAGTTCCAGTCAACATACCGAAGTCCACCCATTGGGTTCTTACTCGTTGTCATATACAATCACCGCATGACGAACACGCTCCTGAGGGTTAACGGAAAATGTTAGGTACGGTGCCAGTGGAGATCCAAGCTCCGCCAAGAGTTGGTAATGGAGTCAAAAGTGGGCAAAAAAGGAGTCAAAAGTGGAACAAAAAGAACGAGAACATACAACACCGGGGATTCGCTGGTCGTCACCGACCCAACTACTGATCCGGCCCTTACTAGCTTATCGATGGGAGAGCGGACGGGATCCCGAGTTCTCTAGTAGGTATGGTCGTATGTGATTGAGAGTTGCAGGATGCAGCATGATATGAGGGGAATACAGAGAGGAGACGGACCGGATAACCTGCATGTTAGTTGCCATGGCTGGTCTCTAGACTCTTATGATTACACCCCTCAAGACCGCCCTGAATACAGTCAATTGCTCTAGCCCTCTCTTGAAGACGAGGCAGTACGTGGCTCAATTGCCAATGACAGCAACCATCCGAGGCGCCAGCGCAGTGTCGTCTCATGGCCTACGGCGAAGAGCTGCACTCACTTTATCGGCAATCTACTGCAACAACCGGAAAGGCGAGCTCCTTCCCTTGGTCCAAGGCAAACAGAGCCTCCGGATGGAGTCACGACCCAAGATGCCTTTAGCAACGGGCTTTCCGACGTCCACCGCCCTCAGCGCTACCTACTTAAACAATATATGGTTTATCTGGCTTTGAGACTGGTGCCAGTGGCTAAGGTACATGTGGTAGGCTTGGTGCTTTGCAGGTCGTTACTACCTTATTGAACGCTCAAGCTGTCGGTCTCCTTCTTCGCCCCGAGATCGTTTGTCGAGCACCAGCAAGCCCTTGAGTTGGCGAGAGTCGACCCGGGGAGCTAGGGGTGGTGGCCAGATGATGTTAGTGCCCGGGGACACACAAAACGGGTAAGACGGAGCCGACATCGAACCGGCATCCGATGGAATTAGACTCTCTGGATTGGCTTGACAATGCAGATATCAGAACCTGTCGCACTTCGATGATGTTCCATTTCGTTGCCTTTTTTCGGCCATAACTGTACTTGCCCTCTATAAGTGGCGGCAACCCATCTTGGGCGTGGTTGCTCCTCGATCTTACTGCGCCTGATTTGCTGTGCTGGCGTAGTTTCCCCGCGTTTTCTCACCTTCAGTTCTGATTTCCAAACGAAATCTCTCAAGAAACTAAGTACTAACGATGGATCCAAGTCATATCCAGTACATCGGCTCCGGTCCCTATTGTTACGCAAACTCGCTGGCCATGATGCTCGGCAAAGCCGCACCGTCGCCAGCCGTCATCGAGTTCGCCACATCCAGTTCGTTCGGAATGCAGCTGATCGGCGGAGAGCTCCCATTCTTTGATCCCTATGGGTGGGATCCAACCAAGGGCATCGACGCCGCCCTTGAAGCGGCCGGCTGGACATCCACCCTCGTTGTTGGCAGAGACGCCGACGATGCCCTCTCCCATCTCCGGCAGGCCCTCGAAAACGGGCCCGTATTCGTCGGTCCCGTGGACATGGGTCACCTCCGATGCCACCCGGATCACCGCAGCTTGGACGGAGCGGACCACTACCTTGTCGTTCTTCGCATCTTCGGCGACTGGGTAGAGCTGCACGATCCCCACGGTTATCCGTACGCGACTCTTCCCCTGCGAAATTTCATGGACGCATGGAGAGCGGCGGGCATCGCGTACGGAGAGCCGTACATGATGCGCACCGGTTTCCGCCAAGTGGAAGAGTATTCGGAGGAGGATGTCATCCAGAGATCCCTAGACAGCGCCCGCCGCTGGCTCGCAATGCACGGCGAGCACGAGCATGGCCTGCCGCCCGGCTCAGTGGCAAACAGAATGGCAGCTGAAACACTAGCCCTGCGGATCCTGAATTCGAACCTCGATCCAGGTCTGCGCGATCATCTTGTCCACTTCGCCGTTCGCGTTGGCGCCCGCCGCCTCGCCGATGCCTCTACCTGCCTGACTCGGATCGGATACCACGAGGTTGCCTCCATCATGGCGAGGCAAGCGCGCTTGGTAGGGTCTCTGCAGTGCTCTCTCGTGGAGGGAGATATTCCCACGGCGGTGGAGGCGCTTCGTACATTGGCCGGAACGTATGAGCAGCTGAGCGTGGCACTCGAGGAGGAATAATATCAGTGTGATTTTCCGGGGATCGCCATTTACTTCCCATCAATATTCTCGGCTTCAGAAATGCGAAATGGGCGCAGTTGACAGGCCCTGACCATCTTTTTTGCGATTTGATAAAGGTGAATGAGAAATGCTTGTCTGGTTCAGGGCTGAAGTACGAGGATCTGTTGGTCATTATCACATTTCTCCGACTGGAGAGGGAATGTTGGGAAAGAGAGGCAGGTTGCGGTCAGAAAGACTCCCAGATTGAAGAAGCTATGGAGAGGGCTGGTTGTATGCCGTGGGTGGTGCCGTGATGGACGACTGGTTTCCGTTCAAGGGTAATCAGACCACCACGTGATGAATTGCATGGAATGGGGTTGCGGTCCAGGTCACGCCGTCGGGATGCTCGCGACTTTGAACTAGATTAAAACCACATGTCAGCGCTCAGCCACCGAACTGAAGACCACCGAGGCAGATGTGCCCGCCCGGTTTATGACATGAGGATGTGGTTGAATGGCTCGTCCGCCATGCTTCTTGGCGCCAAAGGATCGCCTCACACAGAAGGGATCTGTTTTGGTCCGAGTTATAATGTTTCCGAGTTATGATGTCATTGGTGACCACTTCTACTTCCCTTTCTTTTCAGGACAAGAGTTCTCAAGTCCAGGGTCGCGGGAGAGCCCGCAATTGAGATGGGATGACAGTCGCTTGGGTAGTCATTTTCTGCATAGGAGGTGGACAGATTCCAGGTCGGCTGCACGTGTACTTGATGACTGCGATCCTTGCTTGGCCGAGTATCGATCGACAACGGCGCACGTGACAAGCTTTGCGGGACAGGCTAAGTATGCTGAAGCAGGCCCGTTTTCCGGGATATCCGATGCAGCGGCTTACCTGAGAGTGTTCTGCAGGTTTGTCAAAGTGCCAACCAAGAATCTTGGGACGAGGAATGGAATGCATCAAGGAAGGCAGCCCAATGGAACTGGAGGACTTTCCATTGGGCCCTCAGCTTGCCCAACGGGAACACCGGCTTCGTGCTGCACGGCACCTGCCAACCCGGAACTTGACCCCTCTTTCCATCTGGAAGGTATCATCCCACCTCGACGTGGAACGGTTTCGTTTGCCTGTCTTTCGTTCTCTCCCGTCCGTATAGGTATTGCACAGTCATTCGTGTTTACCAGTCAAGGAACGATCCGGCAAACCGTGAAGCTTCCTTTCACAGTGGCTCTGTCAACCCGGTCAGTGACGCTTATTTCCATCCCTAAATCCCCACCGAGTCCGCGGATCATGAGATATCCAAGGCGAATGCCTCCAACATCTTCGTGCAACTCACAATCCGGGAGCTGACTGAAAATACAGGGAAGGGTGCTAACACTCTCTTGTCTATAAACCTCGCTCGCCGGGTTCCGGAAGCCCCACCTTCTTTCCTCTCATCTCTCGCCGGCTTCCACACCCGATAACTGCAGCCAGTTGCACGCAGCATTCATTTTGTGTCTTCAAGTACCGTCAAGATGGTGCATCTCTCGACTATCCCGGGCAAGAAGGACGAGGTGAACGGCAAGCTGGCCGAAGGCGTCAAGAAGGTCCACCTTCAGCTCGCCAACGATGAGGACAGCTTCACCACCAGCGTCTACGGCTCCCGGTTTGCGGCCCAGGACCTTCCCCGCCACGAGATGCCTGAGGGCGAGATGCCCAAGGAGGTAGCCTACCGTATGATCAAGGACGAGATGAGCCTGGACGGAAATCCCATGCTGAAGTGAGCCGATCCCGGCAGGTGAAGTTGTTGAGACACTGACATATTTCCGTAGTCTGGCCTCGTTTGTCACCACGTACATGGTATGGATCCTTCGCTTCCGTACATGTCGGCCCCGTGTCCCGCTGACGCCTCCTAGGAAGAAGAAGCAGAGAAGCTCATGACCGAGTCCTTCCCCAAGAACTTCATCGACTACGAGGAATATCCCCAGACTACCGAAATTCAGAATCGTTGTGTTTCAATGATAGGCCGCTTGTTTAACGCCCCTGTCTCACCCGGTGAGAACGCTGGCGCCGTCGGCACGTCGTGCGTCGGCAGCTCCGAGGCCGTCATGCTGGCCGTGCTCGCTATGAAGAAGCGCTGGAAGAACAAGCGCATGGCCGAGGGGAAGCCGTGCGACAGGCCCAACATCATCATGTCGTCGGCCGTGCAGGTCGTCTGGGAGAAGGCGACCCGCTACTTCGAGATTGAAGAGAAACTCGTCTACTGCACCGAAGACCGCTATGTAATCGATCCTGAGGAGACGGTCAACCTGGTTGATGAGAACACGATCGGCATCTGCTGCATCCTTGGCACCACGTACACGGGCGAGTACGAGAACGTGAAGGCCGTCAATGACCTGCTCACCGAGAGGGGACTTGACACGCCGATCCATGTTGATGCCGCCAGCGGTGGTTTCGTGGCGCCCTTTGTCGTCCCTGAGCTCAAGTGGGATTTCAGGTTACCGCATGTCGTGTCCATCAATGTCTCCGGACACAAGGTAGCTTCCATTCCCATCTATACCCCGCATGTGATTTGCTAACCCGTACAGTACGGCCTCGTCTATCCTGGTGTCGGCTGGGTGGTCTGGCGCAGCGCCGAGTACCTTCCGCAGGAGCTCGTCTTCAACATCAACTACTTGGGCGCTGATCAGGCTTCTTTCACCCTGAACTTCAGCAAGGGGGCCAGCCAGGTTATCGGCCAGTACTACCAGCTCATTCGCCTGGGCAAGCACGGCTACAGGGCCATCATGAGCAACCTGACACGGACAGCGGACTACCTGTCAGACTCGCTCGAGGTACTCGGCTTCATCATCATGTCCAAGAAGTCCGGCGAGGGTCTGCCCCTGGTGGCCTTTCGTCTACCACACCTGGAAGACCGCCAGTACGACGAATTTGCGCTTGCGCACGCCCTTCGCACTAGGTGCGGCCCTTGATCTGAGGAGAGGTTGTAGTGGGGGGTGTTTGCTGACCTTCATTTAGGGGTTGGATCGTACCTGCCTATACTATGGCGCCGCACACTAAAGGGTTGAAGATGTTGCGCGTAGTCGTGCGCGAGGACTTCACGAAAAACCGATGCGACGCGCTGATTGCCGACATCAAGCTCAGCCAGCAGTCATTGGAGCAGATGGACCACGAGAGCATCAAGAAGCAGCAGGAATTTATTCACAAGCACCACACGGCCAGCAGCAAGGCCACGCACAACCATCCCAAGTACCGGGTACGTACTGCGCTTTTTATTTTCCTGCTAGTCGTGATAAAAAGAGCTCTGATATGCTGACAACCCACGCTGTCCCGTCACAGAAGGAAAACCACTCGCTCCAGGGGAAAACGGGTAAGACTCACGCTGTCTGCTAAGGTATACCGCGAGAGGCAGATCAACATCGAGGGGCTCTGCTTGGGTGTAGCATGGCCAAGGCGGTCAGTACGCAGGCGATGGGTAGGAAGGAGATTGGCGACGCTCTGTTGCTTCTCAGAGCATAGGAATTGGGTTTGTTGACGCCGAGGATTGCATGCCGGTCAGAATGGGATAACTGGTAAGCTCTTTTGACATTTTCGGCCAACCTGATCTCTCAATTTCACGTTGATTTGATTGCTAGTGCGCGAATCGAGGGACAACGCAATGAAATGCTATACGATGCAATTATCTCCATGATCGACTGGGGTGGCCTTGACAAAGGACGACGAGAACCTTGATGGATTTGATAAGATATTCTTATCGATAGCAGATGCTGTGCTCTAAGTGGTGCATCAATCTCCAAGTCCCGACATCGCTCTTCGCGGGTTTTGTGGGAATTTTACGATGACTCGGTTCATACCGCAGCACCAAACGCTGAATGACTAACATTGAGTCACAGCTGTTTATTGGTGACAGCTCTTAAGGCGGCGCCATTTCTGGGGATTATTCCCAACCTAACTGGTCCTCAGGCCGTTTGAATCTAAGGATTACCCTCCTCGGCCGAGTTATTCCACCAACAGACGCCCCCTTGGCCGCTTTTTGTCTGTCATCCTCTCACCCCCTCACCATGGCCTTCCGTGCTCTCCGCCTCGCAGCCGCCGCCCGGCCGGCAGCTGCACGATTCTACTCTCAGTCTGCCACCGTGCCCACAGCGAGCGCCTCGTCTGTCACAGCTGCCCAAATCCAGCGCGACGCCGCCCTGCCAAATCCGGACCCGGCAGACGACTCAGCCAGCGCGGCCCTTGTCCGCGAGCATGCCCCCTTCATGGTCGCCACCTACGCCCGCCCGCCGCCCGTTTTTGTCAAGGGCGAGGGCTCCTACCTATGGGATATTGAGAATCGGAAGTACCTCGACTTCACCGCCGGCATCGCCGTCAACTCGCTCGGTCACTGCGATCCTCAGGTGTCCAAGTTGATCGCGCAGCAGGTACTCCCACTCCTTTACCTTATCTAGAAACTCCGATCCAGAGCTTGCAAAATCCCAAATTAATGACTTACCTCCCAGGCCAAAACGCTCATTCACGCCTCCAACCTCTACTACAACCCCTGGACAGGCGCGCTCTCCAAGCTCCTCATCGAAAAAACGCTCGCCTCTGGGGGCATGCACGACGCCACCTCCGTCTTCGTCTGCAACTCCGGCAGCGAAGCCAACGAAGCAGGCATCAAGTTCGCCCGCAAAGTCGGCAAGGTCCTCAACCCGTCCGGATCCAAGCACGAGATCGTCTCGTTCCACAACGCCTTCCACGGCCGCACCATGGGCTCGCTCAGCGCGACCCCCAACCCCAAATACCAAGCCCCCTTCTCCCCCATGGTCCCCGGTTTCCGCGTAGGCGACCTCAACGACATCGCCGCCCTCCCGCAGCTCGTCACCGAATCGACCTGCTCCGTCATCGTCGAGCCCATCCAGGGCGAGGGCGGCGTGCAGGTGGCGAGGGACGAGTTCCTGTTGGCGTTGGCAAAACGATGCAGGGAGGTCGGCGCCGTCCTGCACTTTGACGAAATCCAATGTGGTCTGTCTCGCACAGGCGCGCTCTGGGCGCATTCGCACCTGCCCAGGGAGGCGCATCCGGATATTGTCACGACGGCGAAGGCGCTCGGCAATGGGTTTCCAATTGGGGCTACCATTGTTAATGCTCAGGTAGCCGAGAAAATTAAGGTGGGCGATCATGGGACGACGTTTGGCGGGAACCCGCTGGCGTGCAGGGTTGCAGTGGATATTGTCGAGCGGCTGAGCCAGCCCGGGTTGTTGGCGGGTGTGAGGGCCAAGAGTGAGGTGTTCAAGGAAGGCTTTGAGAGGCTGGCGGAGATGTTTCCGGGGCTGGTGCAGGAGGTGAGGGGACGGGGGTTGTTGTTGGGACTGCAGCTGAGCGAGGACCCGGCGTCGATTGTCAAGGCCGCGAGGGAGAGGGGGTTGTTGGTTATTACGGCGGGCACAAACACCCTGAGGTTTGTGCCCAGCTTGCTGATGACTGAGGAGGAGATTAGGGAGGGGCTGGGGATTTTGGAGGAGGCGATCAGGGCTACAAGGCAGTAGTAGAGCACTGAGGGAAGAGTGTTGCGTTCAGGTTCAGCGTCTAGAATACCTGGTGGTGGTTTCAATCTGGATGGAGTTGGGGTCGAAAGACATGTGTTCTTTATTGGCTCGTGATTCTGCTGCCAAACATGAACACATCAGGGGTGTTGGGTCTGCAACATATCTCTGCCCAACGTGATACAATACTCCATTGTTGCTCTGTGTTCGTTATGTTGGTGGTCGTGTAAAGGTGTGGCAACGTCCAACAGAACAACTTGCTAGATGACTAACTGTGTCCATAGTGGAACGCAACTAGTCCATCATGATACCCAGCACGAGTGCCATGTTCTTGCGAGACGTGTGATGTTACCCATCGCGCTAATCCGTCAAACCAGTCACAAAAAGTCTCCTCTACAGCGAGCCTGTTGTGGTATGTCGCCCCATTGGTGGACCGGATGCTACCACATGTCGCATTCTGAGACTCTTAAGTGGAAGAAGCCACTGGTAAGCAGTGGAAGAAAACCAACCATCTTCGTATACCTCCATCGTACTAGACAGTCGATGTTGAGCTAAGGCATGCTCATTCACCTCAGCTGCAATCGATGAGACAAGCGGTGCCCATGAAACGAAACCGCAATGATTTACTCTCTTTGGTTGGACCGGTCTGGGTCGAAACTGACATTAGCTGTCCTCCAGCCAGCCTCGAATCACCAAGCCCTCACAACTGTTGCTCGACAAAACGAAACAAGTTCCCTCCATGTGGTTGGAGGCCGTTGGACAGGCCAGTCCAAGCCAAGGCGCCCACATCCTTCAATAAGAAATGAATGGCCAATCACAAGCCTGACAAAATCGGCGAAGGGAACGGTGTCATTTCATCCATGTCATGCAGTGTCATTCACAGGTGTACCCCAATCATGTGTCTTCATGCCCATGCTGTCTTTTCTCTAGCGAGTGCCCCCTCGTCCTACCAGTACCTCTTGTTAAATGCACCCAAGTCCTCAAAATCTGCCTAGATAACGCCTTTGTGAAGAGCATAAAATTTGTGTCTTCCCTAATGTATCAATGAACGAGTGACATCAAGTTGAACCAGGTGTCCTTCCTGATAAGGTCGAGATGACATCCCAGCCAACGGGGTATAGAAGTGATGCAAATTCCACCATGCAAAATGAAGAAAAAGTCCCAACAGGCTGGCAACCGTCTTGTCCAAGACGGACCCAATCCTGACAAGCATAAAGTGCGCTTAAGCGAGGATGAGCTTGGCCGAGCCGCGGAAGCGACGGCGAAGCTTCTTGCTGGCGGCAGCCTCGACGGAGAGGGTGGCGCTCTCGCCTGCCTTGCATGTGGTGCCGGCGGCGACGGCCTGCACGGGAGACCAGGTGCCGCTAGCGCAGCGCTGAAACGACGTGCCGCCGATGCAGTTCCAGGCGCCCTCCGAGGTGCAGGCGGTGCCGGCGGGGTAGCCGCCAGTAGCGCTACCAGACCCGGAGCTGGAGCCGGAGCCAGTGCCGGAGCCAGTACCAGGGGTAGCTGCGGGCAAGGCGCTAGAGGTGGCGGTGACGAGGGTGGTGGGAGTCGCGGTGGCGGAGGCGGATGCGCTAGCGCTCGAGCCGGGGACAGTGATGAAGACGCCACCAGGAAGACCGGTGTTGGAGGCGGCAGCGCTGGAAGACGGAGCGGGCGCGACAGTGGAGGTGGGAGCGACCGTGGCCTGCACGGCGGAGCTCGACGAACTTCCACTGCCGGAGCCGCTGCCGGAACCAGTGCCTACACCAGCACCGGCACCAGCACCAGCACCACAGTTACCGACGGGAGGGGCGAGCTTGCTGCCGCCGGTAACGACATCAGGGCCGGGGTTCGGGTACTGGACGTCGCTGCCCTCGGTGGTGGTGCAGCCGTTGTTGATGTTGGCGAGGAAGACCTGGGGGCGCGACGAGAAGGCGGCGGTGGCGCGCTGAGTGAGGTTGCGCTCCTCCTCAACATCACGCTTGGCACTGCCGGGGCCGATGGTGACGGCGGCGCAGTTCATGTACAACTCGCGGTTGCCAATGTTGTTGTTCCAGGTCCAGGCCCAGATGGCCTCGCCCTGGGGGGCATCGTCCGGGATGGTGAATTTGTAATTAGCCGCAAAGCCGCAACCGCCAACTAAGGACTGGATGACGGTGAAGGTTTTGCCCTGGTCGTAGCTCAAGCTGACCTGGCACGAGCCGCCGCCGTGGGGAGCGCCGCCCTCAAGGGTGAACTCGTAAGCCTGGCCGGGGGCATAGGTGGCCACGGACTTGCCGGCAGCGGTGCCGAAGTCAGAGTGGTAGCCCTTGCATGGATAGTTGGAGCCGTCAGCGGCGAGCGGCGCCGTGATGCTGTAGTCGATTTGGGCGGGGTTGGCGTTGGGGTTGTTCTTGGACCGGAAGGGAGGCGGGTTCGAAACCCACATGTGGGCGGCGGCGAGTTGGCAGCCAGCAAGCATGACGGCGAGGACGCCGGTGGTGAGTCCGTTGGAGAACATTTTGATTGTGGATGTTTAGATGTTTCGTGCGATCGCGCGCTCAAGATGCCGGTTGGGCTAGTTTTGGGTTTCAGGGAGTGATAAGGTCTCTAGGCCAGACCAGGAGCGATATCTTTTTATCGAGCGCTGCTCGAAGAGCCACAGAAGGAATGAATGGGCGGTTTTGTTGTTGTGTTGTCGCTATTGTCGATGCTGAAAAGCAGAGTCGGACAATGGCCTTGTTGTGCGAGTGGAATCACAATCGAAAAGCGCCTGGCTCAAAATTGTGTGGTAAAAGCGGTTCCAAGGACCGGACAGGAAGAACAATGGGAAGCGAAAAAAGACAATGATGCCCGTGCCGGGAGCTGTTGTTGTTCGAATGAACTGAAGGAGAGACAAGAGGCGCGATGCCGTGGTTAAAGAAATAGAAGAATCAAAAAGAGCAGACCAGAAAGGGCGGGGAGGGCCCTCTTTATCCTGAATGTTTCTGCTCCCCCCCGGCGGTTCCTGAATGATTGGACGGCAGAGCCGGGTAGGTTAGGACAGCGGAGGCATGTTTCGAACGCCACCGCGTGGACAGCATCTCTCTCGTCCCAAGGTCCCAGAAAGCCAAGCCGTCCAAAGTGACTGTGCCCTGTGGTCTCCCGTTGTGGGTAATTCGCCGGGACGGGACGACAGGGGAGGCCTGCGAGGGCCACTGGCCGCCAGACACATGTGGCCCTCGTTGTTCTTCTTTTCCACTGCCCAACGACAACACATTGGTGCCTTGATACATGCTCGTTGCCCATCATACTAGCCGGGGCCAAGTCGACCGAGAGTGCCCAGAATGCCGGGCAAATTTTTGCTCCTTGCTCCTTTCCATTGTATCCGTACATAGGTACACCTAACTTACAAACCACAATCACAGGTCAAGCGTGATGGCGGCCAGCCGCGCGGCCAGTTTGAGCTGCACTGGATTATCCAGTGATGGCTCATTGTCAGTTGGGATCTCCCTCGTGCCGCGTTCTTGGACAGGACTGGTGAGACGAAAAAGCGTTGGTGTGACAGGTGACAGGCACACCTGCGCCGATGACTAGCCCAACCTTTGGCTGTCCCTCTGCCAGTCGGCACTTTCAGTGGAGCAATTGACAGCCCCTTGCCAGAGGCATTTCGACGTTGGCCGAATCGCAGATCGGGGAAAGCACACCACCAGGATGGATCGCGGACCCAAAAAAAGGGGCAAGGAAATCCAGAGCGAAGAACTTCCCTCCCACTTTTGCCAAGGTTCAGAGACTGTCAGCCAATCAAAAACCGAAGGTGCCTGGACGCTTGCGCAGGTTCCGACAGAGTCTAATTGGCTGAGGGAGCGGGCCAGCTGCGTGGTGGTCAGGCCAGATCCTGGGGAAGCCGGCCACAGCCGCCGCCTGGCCGAACGCATGAACTTGAAACACAGCCCCCTTCCCCTCGCGCAATGGGCACCCCAGTCGCGCCCAGCAATCCCCTTCCGCCGTGCCACTGCGGCGCTTGGCAGGCCATTCCACTGGCCGCCGTCGACTCATGCCTCCTCGGCTGTCTGAAGTTCAAGCACATCAATCATATTCTTTTCAACGGACCCAGCTTGACGGTAAACCCGGTGTTTGCTCGCAATTCCAGGCCCACTCTCGTCGCACGCGGCTGCCAACATGGGATCGGGCTTTGTAAAAGTTCTTATGCTGGCCTCCGCCCGTTACATACAACGAAGTCCCAAATCCACCGTACGCAGCCCAGCCATTCCCGAGTGGGACTTGTACACGTCGTGACATCCAGTCATGTCCCCTCGCACTCGACGCCTGGAACGTTACTGTCAGAGGGAGAAACAACTGCCGCCATCGGTTCGACTCGGACGATTTGCGGAGGTACCCATCAACCAGTTGGCTGGGTCTCATCCGAAAGCCCACTACCTTACCACAGTACATTTCACAGTCCAGCGATCAGCACGAGGCAGGCGACCGCAGGCTTGCAGACCACGTCAAGATGCAACCACGCACCCGCCCGATTTGGCCTCACCGTACCTTACTTGGATGGAGTCAGATGATTGAAGACAGACACGCATCTCGTTATGAACGTATGAACTGCCGAGTAACTGACACACATGAAGACAAATTGCCGAGAATAGCGAAGCGGCAACTACGGTAGGACGACAGGAGCAAAGAATAGGGATGAAGGTTGCCAAAATAGCCATGTGTCTTTTATCCGACTCGGAACCATAAAAAGGTCTGCGTGCCTCCCATTTGCTTGCTGCCCGCGGTGCTGGCACCTGGTTTTACTTCCCCTCATTGTTTACGTAACCAAGTCAGCTGCGGCAGCCCCGGCGAGCCCCGCCAGCAACTGCTTGTGCTGAACAAAATCCGCCTCGCCATGCTCCACTGTAGGCAAACCTCGACGACCAGGAGTTCAGCCAGGGCAACTTGAACTACGAAACCGCCACCGCCGGTCATGCATACGGATGTATTCCTTCCCTGAGCGGCTGGCGGCGGCTGAGAGATCGGACCGAGATGGGAGTGGAAGATGGGACGAGAAACAAACAATCAACGGACTTGAAACACACAGAGCCGCAGAAGAAACCAGGAACTCGGAAACCCAGGGCCCATAATAGGAGCGGGCTGACGAATGTCGCACCTGTGATCCCGAACTGCTCCTCCACTGAAGGGAGCAACAATACATGCCCTCCCGCGGACACCGGAATGCCCACCGACTAGTCAGGGACAATCAACGTTACAAGGCAGCCTAAATCCTCTGCCGCGTACCTTGCGTGTTCGAAAAATTGCCCGAAGACCAACCGACCGCAACCTTTCTCGGAGGTTTGCAAATCCTCATTCATGCAATAAAACTGTTGACTTCCAGGCCGTTCATCGCCAATACAACACCAGTCAGGCCAGACCGAGGGGAGCAATCTCGAGGCAATTTACAGCCAACAGCTCGCCACCAACCGACTTCGAATTTTCCGAGTCCGATCTTTGAAGAAGCCAGAACCGGATCTCAAGCCGACTCTCCCATTCGCACATTTCCCGAATTGCAAAGATCACTTGTGGAGCCTTTTTCAGATCAGCATCACGAACTACGGTACCTTCTCTGCAAACCTGTGATGACTACCTCCGTACCTTAGGCCGTCCAGCCCTGATCCCAGCCCTAAGCCAGCGGACCCAGCGTGGATTCCTCAACGTTCATGCAACGTTAACAGAGTTCCCCATAAAGCTCATTCGATCATGTTAATGAAAGGCCGATTCTCTCGCCACAATGGAGAGCCAACCACACTGCCACCGTCCTGCACATTTCCACATTGAGCTTACGAAAAGCCAACTTCATGCCGTTTGCCTCTCTCGTATCCGTACTTCAAGTCCACAACAATAGGGAAGGGGGAGGCACCGTGGTAATAAAACGCTCATTTACGTGACAACGAATACTTCGCAGTGTTTGAGATGTTGGGCAGAAACCCGAAACGGCCAACCGCGCCACCGTCGCCACGTTTCAATCAGGTTTCCCTGTAATCAAACACCACAATCCCGATACCGTAGCTATCATCCGGGTTCGGCTGTATGGTCCATCAATGGGAGTTAGTTCTCCAGACGACGTGAACGAAAATCTGTGGGCATACACACGTAGTGGATCTGTATGCCCCAGCAACTTCAAAACTCAAGCTCCTGCTGCTCAATCATCCACTTTGGTGGCGTCCAGGGCGGACCTTGCTCCTCAACACTTCTCGATTAAGAGGAAGTCCAATGTCGTTCAGATGATGGGCCCAGGAAAGACGCTGCTTGGCATTGTAAGTTAGCCCCAGACACGTACGCAAGCCAGCTGCCTCGTCGGATTCTAATGTTTGAGCATATCCACATGGCGGCGTCTGGATGGCAAAGGTATTCGTGACGTGACCCCAAGGCTGCTTCAGCCGGCCTACGGTAACTCCTAGAGAAAACTTCTGCCAATCTTCGTCATGCTCATCCAGCCGTTTCCATCACACTTCCATCCTGTTCAAAAGGCCCACCCCCTTTTTCTTCCAGCCAGCCTGTCCCACATAACCACCACCATCCCCCATATCCCTCTTTCCAGCCGCTACGTCCTCGCCAACCGAAGCATTCATGCCCTGCCAAGCAGCCCAATCTCCAAGTCTCCGCCTTCCCCCCTCCTCTGGGTCATTTCCAATCTGCCCTCAAGGGTCCAACCTCGTTCTCGTCAGGTTGAGTTGTTGCCTTGTGCTATATCCATCTCTCCTTCTGCTCTTCCCCCGGTCTTTCTCCTCCCATTCTCACCTCACCCCGCACCCTTGCGCCTTGGGCCGGCCCATTCCGCCTCCTGACATCAGGATAGAGCGGGTACCTGCAAGCAAAAAAGACACACATGTAAAACAAGATAATTACCGGTCCGGCATACGGGACATCATCTCTCAGGTGATCACACAACTGAACACTGATTGAACTGACAGATCCCGCTCATGCAAGGTAGGAGGTAACTGTTGAGAGTGCAGTCCGGTCTAGTCTCACCAATCCAGCCCGGCAGCAGAGAATTAATGCATAATTTCTCTGGGGGGAGAAGGGGAGGGTCGACCAGTTGAAACAAAGCAACAACAGATTTCGCCGCAACCCACGTCCTATTCGTTGTTGGGTCGGTGTGGTGTGTTATAACAGCTGGCTCAATTCATAACGGGAGCGCAAAAAGCTAGGTATGTTATGATGTGATCCTGCCTCCTCTCAGACCTCTCTCATCATCTCATGGGCCTTTGCTGCTTCTCTGCCGCTCCATTGCTTGCTGATGTGCATGCCACCGCGGGTAGTGGTCTTCCTACCATCCAACCATACCCTCCCTCCGCTTGTTCCCCTCCCCATCCCTTCCATTGATTCCGCCAACTCCGCCCTGCCCGCAGAAGATATCTGCCGCCGGTTGTGCTCGACGTGAAACATTTCGCTCTTCGGCTGGGCCGCGACGTTGGGTTGGGTAGGTGAGGCAACACTTTCTTCGCTGCCACACAGGTAGGCCAACTCTAAAGCCAGCCACCTCGGCAAACGACCGACAACCAGCAAAACCTGACAAAGTAAGGTAGCTAGGCCAAGTTGAACCCCATCATTGTGTCATCATCGGGCTCGAAAACGAGTGAGATAACCCCAACAGCACGGTTCAGATGGCCGGCCGGCGGACAACAGAGTGGACAGGCAGGCAGGGCAGGTACCGCAACACAATCTATGCAGGTTATGTGTGTTTGGCAGCAAGCGTTTGCTCACTGGGGCCTCTGGCCCGAAAACTTGCCCTGGGGTTGCTGTGGCGTGTAGGCCGGCTGTTGGTACGGCATGCCTGGGCTCATGCCATACACGGCTTGCTGTCCCTGGTGTGTGCCCTGGTGCGAGCCCTGATGCACCATCATCGGCGCCGCGGGTCGGCCGGGACTGGGGAACCCGTTGGACCCAGGCACCGGCTGCGGGGGTACGCCGCCGGCGGGTATGAAGTGCGGTTGGGCGGCGGGGTAAATTGGCCCTGCGGCCACCATGCCATTTGGGCCGGGAAGGAACCCCTGCTGAACCATCATGGGCGCCGCCATGTGGTGGGGTTGTTGCGGTATGAACTGCGGGTTGTGCGAGAAACTGCGGAACTGGCCCATCTGAGGGGCGGCATTCATGTACGGCTGCATCACCGGCTGACCGTACGGCATCTGCACCGGAGCATTGACCGCCGGAGGATACGCCATCGGTACCGGTCCCATTCTAGGAGAAGCGAAAGACTGTGCCGAGTTGGAGTGCATCATCCTATGATCGTCCGGGCCGGTAAAGGGCACGTGGGGCACGTGCCCGTGCTGGCCAGCGTGCATCTGCATCGGCGGGATATGAGGCGACTGGCGGGGTGCCAGGCTCTGCGCGCCGTGTTGAAGGTGAAAGGGAAGCTGATGCTGGTGCGCCACCTGGGGCATGACGTGGGACGGGTTGGGCGTGGCCACGGCGGCGCTGGACAGCGGCAGGCGCTCGAAATACTCCTTGTACGTAAGGTGCATGGTGGAGTCTGGCGCCTCAGTCTCTTCTTGGAGCTGCCGCCAAGTCGGCAGGGTATCGAAGGACGGCTTGAGACCGTCATTGTCGTCCCAATTGCGGCCCGGCGGAGGTTGAATGCTCTCAATGTGTGACAGGATGAAGCACTTCTTGACGTCCACCGCTCTCGTCTTGCGCCGGATGAGCTGGCCTTTGACGGGGGGCGGGGGCACAGGGGTCTCGGCAATGTTGTTCACCGAGGAGCGAGGAGAAGAGCCCTGGCTAGGGATGGCAGGGTTGAAGGGCTGTGCAAATGCGTTGGGTCTAAACTCGTGGCTGTTGGGGTTTAGCTTAGGACCCATGTAAGACGGGGGAACGGCGCTGATCCGGCGGCCAAAGCTCGGGTCGATACTGTTTGCGGGGCCGGTGGGAGGAAGGCGCATATCCGGAGGAGGGTGCTGGGCAAGATGAGGATGCTGCAGCTTCTGCTGCTCCACATTCCGCAGCCTCTGTGCCAGGTTGCCAGTTGGCGGGTTTTGAGGGGCGAGATGTGGCGGCGGGCGGTTGTTTCTGTTGTACTGGTAATGAGACTGAGGGTTGTACGAGGAGCGGGCGCCGGGATGGCGGCCGGGGATGCCCGTTGCCGAGCCCGTGTGCTGCGGCCCAGCAGGGCGAGAACTGCCCCGCACGTCAGCCGTTCCGGCCGGTGTAGACGCGCCAGACTGCTCGGCGCTGGTCTTGGCTTGTGTCTCCTTTGCCACAGCAGCGTCCTTCTCCTTCGCAGCCGCCTCTTTCTGCTTCGCCAACTCTTGTATGTTTCGATCTGCCTTTTCCTGAATTTGCTTTTGCTTGACAGGGTCTTTCGCTATGATGGGAATCAGGTCCTGTGGGACAGGGGTGAAGAGCTTGAAGTTCTCTGCGAACTTCTTCAGCTCGGTCAACTTGACCTCCTTATCGACCTTGGCCTTGGAGGTCCTGACTTTCTCGGCCATGAACCTCTGGGTAGACGCGAAGGTCCTGAACGAAACCAGCACGTCCCGTTCAACAGTGGAGGCTGCGCTTGGGACAGGGCCGACCTTGCCTTGCGTTGCTGCATGCTTGGTGGTGGCTGGCGGCCGAACGCCGCTCGCATCTTTGGCATCAGCCGTCTTACTGCCCGAAGAGGCATCTGCTTTGGTCTCGGTCGGCTTCACTTCAGCCGCGCCTGCGCTCGGCTTGGGCTCTGCGGGTTTCTCGGCAACAGGCGTAACGGTTTTCTCTGTTGTGCTTGGGCTCTTGGCCTCCGCGGGCTTCGGAGTCGGCTGCTTCGGGGCGGGGGTGGTCTTGAGCTGTGACGAAATAATGGCGGGATCGACCGGAACGCCCTTAACAGAAGCCTGGCCCGTGGGCGCGCGGCGAGCCGGAGGGGTATACTTGTTTTCCCGGCCCGTCAAAGGCGGGAAATCCTGTCGACGCACGCCGCTGTACCTGGGAAGGGGTCAACATCGTGCTACTCCGCCAAGTGAATGGATCGTACTTGTCTTCCTCGTCTCTCTGGTCGTCTCCACCCACAAAGTCCATAATACGCTCCTCGGCGACATGTGCGGTGGTGGGAGCACTGCGCTCAATCTCACGCGCCTTCCTCTCCGCAACCGCCAGCCGTTCCTTATACTGCGGGTGGCTCTTATTGATGGCCGTGGTGTAGATGTTTTCGTCGTAGTCGGTCTTCAAACCGAACAGTCGCTCGTTCTCAGCAAACTGATCCCACGCGCCGCCGCCGGCGGAGGATTTTTCCAGGGACCCGTCGACCTCGTAACCGGCATCGGGCACCCAGGCCTTCAAGGTCCTTTCGTTGCCGAGTCTCGAATTGGATATCGCAGCATCTGTCCGGAAGGTGGGCCGGTTACCTGGTGCGAAACGTCAGCACATGAAGGGGGAGGTGGGGGGGTGTCACTGCCTACCGTTCGGGGCCCTGACATCGTTTTTGATGTTGCTGGAGATAACGCGGGCGTCCGCAATCTCGCTCCGTTGAAAGCTCATAGTGGGCTGTTCTCTTCTGGTCGCACCGTTTGCGATTTCTGTCGAGCTCGGGAGCTTCTTCTGCTGCACCATGCTCAGACGGCAGCTGGAAGGGTCGGGCCCGTTGCTATAGATGCCTTCGAATTCAGCACCAGAGGCGAGAGCAATGCGAACTCTCTGGCCCTGTGAGGGTGATGTTAGCTCAAGTGCCGAGCGATTCGCCAATCAATGTATCGCGTATCGGGGCGGGTAGTCAAAGAATGCGCGTGTGCTAAGTCCGCTTGGTGGAGCTGTTGCAACCTTGATGGCGACATCCAAAATGACAGGAAAAGAAAACGCCGACTAACCTCGCGGAAGGAGCTCGTCACAGATGGCTTGTTCTGGGGAGTTTGCGGTCGGCCGGTAATGGGGTTTCTGTTTGAAGTCCACGCCTTCTGCTGGACAGCAGCCTGTCTGTGCGGGCGTCAGTCAAATCAATTCGTGTGCTACGACCCGTCACTCCGGACAGGCAATGCCAATGCCAGACGGCGAAGAGCTGCGACCCGTGCGCGATTGGCGCTGCAAGCGGCAGGAAAGTGCATGAAAAAAGGCAAAGGGTGAAAGGCCTGGGATGTTGTTTTTGTTGGCGGGGAAGTGAAGTGCGAGACCCCTTGCGAGAAAAAAAGTTGGGGATTTGATTGCATGGAAAATGGAAAATGGAAGCGTCTCGTGTCTCACCTCGCAGTCGGGGGCGAAGCTGTGGCCTCCGGACCCTTCGCTCGCTGGTCGCCAAGCTTGCTGCTGTACAGAGGGCGGGAAGTAGGCGATTTGATGTCGTGGGCACTGGACGGCGAAGGCGATGCGACGGCGGTTTTTGAGGCTGTCGATCGATCGTCCATAGTTCCTGTGCTCTGCCGGTGGGCACTCGGTGGTGCAGCTGTCCAGACTTTTGGGGAAAGAGGGTTGCGGGCGGGAGAAGTGCGGGAACGGCAGAGGGAAAGGGAGTTTGTACGAATTGGGTGAACCGAGCTCTGGTTGGCTGCGTGCTGGGGCAGCGTCGAGCGAGTGCACAGCAACAACCCGATTGATTTGCATCAAACTCGGCAAGGCCCTGCGTCACGACAGCCTGCCACGCACGTTGCAATTTTTGAGTTACCGTTAAGGTAGGATACTTGGGTCGCTGAATTTCGCTGTCAAAAGCTTCAGCGTGTGACAATGAGGATGGCCAACTGATTCTCCAGGCTGAGGCATACAACAGGGACATCGATGTTGGTCCCCGCTTGCTTGCAGCTTATGGTTGGGGGCTCTTGCCGAGTGGCTCGACTCTCCCTAGCGCAAGAAGTGGTCTGAATGATTCAATACCACAGTAAAGTAGGCAATGAAAGTTTGTGTATAGCCAAGCCTTAAGAAGTCGATTTTGAGGATCTGGAAGGAAGGAGAAGGGTGATGCAGAGGAAAGAAATAGGGTGCTGGTACTTTTTCGGACGCGTTCTTGTGGAACCGGATGTCCCGCGGGCTTCTCGTTGGGCGGGGAAGTATACAACTACGGATCCGTATGGTAGGTAATGTAGAAAGGTGTTGCACCAGAATGACGAGCCAGCAGCAGAACCTTTAAGGTACTTACCGTAAGCGAAGAGGAAATGCAGACGGAGCGAATATATTCAGTGACCGAATGCTCAACGTGCGCAAATCCACAATGGATAGCACCGTGAATGCCTCACCAAACGAACCCGTGGTCGTTCTCAGGATCTTGATGAGCAATGTTCAACGGGAAGCTCCTCAAACACCAGCTGTCAGTCTGAGGCAATTTGCTGGCCTTGCGGAACAACAAGGGTCACAGCTTGACGGGATCCCGCCCAGCCGCTAGCACTGTTTCAGCAAAAAGCCAGCCTTGGCATCCGCTGGGGTGGTCAAAGGGACCCCACGTGATTTGCTTCTTTTCAATCACTCTGGCTCCATCCATCCCCGTGAGTACGGAGTTAGGAAGCTTTCAAGCTGGAATGAGGCCATCTGACCTGCTTAGCAGACATCCGTAGCCTTGGGGAACAGTTCTCAGGACGCTTTCTTTGTTGTCAATGTCGGATGATTGCCTGAATATGAAGCCTCCAGGTGGGACACGAAGAAGCTGAAATTCCCGTGCGAACCGCAAGGTACCTTACTCCATACCTTTACCTACCTTATTGTCCACCACATGGATTAGGGTACGTTTAGGAAGCGTGCCGTTTGCCGACTTGTCTCCGGATCCAACCGACATTTCCTTTTTGTTCTTTTTGTTTGGGGTTCTTCTTACCGTGGTTATCTCCTAGGAAAAGGATTGTCCTCTTTACCTTCCAGCAGAATTTGCGCCATGGTAGGCATCCACCCAGGGCCTTCACGCCAAAGGAGCATGTAGCCTTTCCCTCGAAGGGCTCTTCAAGCTCCCTCCATTTCTGTTCCCCCACTGGAGGTGCCCAGGATTGAGACGCTGCATCACAAACCCCCGACCATCTCGTTGCCGTTGGCTCGCATTGCCGGTCGATGAGCTCCGCGCTGTCTTGAGGTAGCAGTGTGGCGAGAGTCTCCTAGCTTCCTTGGGCATGTAGACCTGGGTGCAAAGTTGCTGAAGATCTACATTCCGGCGACTGCCCAGCAACCACTTACCCGCAGTTTGCACATTGCTAACCATATGAGAACAACCTCAGCTGACAGAGCCCCAACAATCAGCCTAAAGTCTGGCAAGCATGGCTTACCCCAGTCAAGGTGCCTCTGATGAACTCAGGATGCAAACGGATATGGACACAAAGCTACCGCGAGCCTCGAGCACCAGCGTCAAGAAGGAATCAGATTACTACCTAGCATGCTGCAGTCAGATGCAAGTGGACAGGGTTACTGTGAGCTGAGGAATGTGTCATTCAGAACTTGAAGCCCCAGCCAAGTTAGGACTCACAAGCCAGATGGGCAACAACCAGTGAAGAGCACTGTGGCTAACGATCTTCAATCAACTGCCTGAGCAGCCGTCATACCGCTTCCCTTTTCCCAACCTCACCAGCAACAACAAGACAAAACAGTTAACCCAGCTTTTTCCATACCAATACCCAAAACCCCAATTCCCAAAGTGGCGGTGGCCCTCCCTCCCTCATTCCAGCCACCATCCCATCGCAAATGTAATGTCTCACCCAACAGCCCCACTTCACTCTCCCTTTCAACAGGAAACCCCTAAAGCAGGTAGACCGGAAAAGAACCGCGACCGGAATGGAGTGGGACTTCACCATTGGTTGGTTTTAAAGCCCCAATCCAGCGACAAAGGCCAGCGCCAGCACAGCCACCCCAAACTGGGACCGAGCCTGAGTCGCCGCGGCGCCGTTGAGCGAGGTTGGGCTGCTCGCCGGGCGGTTGGTGGTGGACTTTGTGCCGCCCTCACTGGTGTGGTCTTTGTGCTCGTCATCACCAGAGGAGTCCGAGGAGGAAGGGGTGGGGGATTCCTGCACGGCGGAGGAGGCGGTGCCAGTGCCGCCGGTGGTGGTGGTGGTGAGTGTCAGGTCTGTGGCGGTTGCGGTTCCCGTGAGGGTGGTTGTGGAGTGGGTGAGGGCGGTGGACGTGGCGAGCGTCGTGGTGGTGGTGGTGAGTGAATCGGTTGCTGTCGACGAGGAGGAGATGCCCGGGAGGAAGAGGCTGGTGCTGCTGCTGCTCGCCGTGGTTGTGCTCGAGGCGGTGATGGCGATGGTGTCGGTGGTCGCTTGTGCCGTGGCAAGGCCTGCCACGAGTGCGGAGAGGAAGACGGAGGATTGGAGTTGCATTTTGAGGAGAGATTGTTGATCGCCTCGTACAGTGAAGTTTCTGGATGAGCGAGTGTGATGGTACCTACGTCTTGGGAGGCGGCTAGCTTGTATTCAGTGAGTCCTGACTGCGAGAAGGATAGGAAGAAAGGAGAGATGGGCACAGACGGACGACGGCCCTCTCTTTAAACCAAGCCAAGCAGATGCTTTCGTCCTCTAGGAAACGGATGGCTGGAAGCATCATCGAGACAACCTTGCTTTGGCACGAGAATCTCTCGCTCGGGGCATCGGGAATGCAGTGCGGGTTCCCGTCCAGGGCAGAGTCATCGCTGCTCCCAGCCGCGGCGGCCCACTGAACGCGTGGACGGCGGTGATCGGACTCGAACGCACCTCCGAGGCTGTGTAAGATGATTGGAGAGTGGATGGGCAACAAAACGCCGCCCTTGGACTACGCAATGACATAGCGAGACAAGATGGCTTGCAGCAAGAGGCCTGGCCCCTTCGGCAACCTGCCGGTGTCCCTGGATTTGTGTCACAAAAAACCGAGTTCAGATTCCGACTTTTCTGCAGGAAGGAGAGAATGGCAAAGGAGAAAATATTTCCAGTGGTAGAACTTGGGCTGCGAGGGCCAAAAATGATTGTCTCGGTGTCAGAGGGCGAAGGTTGAGAAGTGGCACCCTCCCTGCGCTCAGGCGTCACTCGCACGCCGCACTGGCAACTTGACAGCCCTGCCAAACCACGAAGCTGGCCAAAGCAGCCAAACACCTCCCCACGGTTCCGATTGTGATGTGGAACCAGCCAAAGTCATGCGCGTGCAGGATCCCATATGAATATGCTGCTTATCGTCGGATGCTTCGATTTCTGTTCCCAACCCGCTTTCCTACGCCTGTGACTTCCCGCCCGATGGAGGAACGCGCGAATATAAGTGTACTGCTGCGACTTGACCGAGGAGGAAGAGAAGATGAAAGGGACAAACTGGAGGAGTGGAGGAAGATTGAGGGAGAGGGGGAAGGGGTGCTTATAGGATTTCGTGCCTTCCGCTTTGGATTGACGAACCGACGTTCCTTCCCACCAGACATAATCTAGCATTACCGGCAAATACAGGAAGTCGCGAGTTGCTTTCACAGCTGTGCTTCTCAGCTGCCCATCCAACCCTTTCAGGGAGCATGAACGCGGATCACTGTCCGGAGGTCGTTTGGGCCGGAGGTCTCAGGAGGTGTTCTCAAGGGCAGGGAACACAACGCGCGCCAGTGCGGTGGCGACAGCACTATGAACAGGTGGGAATCGCTTCGGGAGTGGGAGTGCCATCTGTGTTGTTTGTTTGGCAGCTGACCAGATGTATCGGCGCTTCAAACAGGAGCCGATGCTGCGGCATCGGAAGCTTTTCGAACGACCTGCGACGGGAGCAGGAGGTATGGCGTAGTGGTGAGAACGGCAGAAACTGAAGGGGCTGGAATTAGGTACAATAATTCCAACAAATGATGACCAGGAGTCTCAACGGTTAGGACTGGGAAGCCTGTTGAAACTATTCCAGGTTTGCGGCAGTGGAAAGTCATGGGTTGAACTCAAAAGCAGTTGTCCGTTCAGCCCCTGCTCGGTGGTTGGCACCGCAGCCTGCCCCGGGGCGGTCCCGCTTTTGGAAAAGCGCAGCCTGGCTTCAGCTAAGGTCCGGTGACTCCATCGAAGCCTCGGTGGAGACTTGCCATGGCCAACCACACCTGAAAGTGGGAACCTCCGCCGTCTTCCAAGACGAGAGAGACGTGAGTTCAACCGTGGCAACCTCGAGTCGCCAGTGCTACCCGTGACCGCCGGTTAGTTCCTGAACGCACTCGAAAGGCAGGGCATCAGAATCAAGACTCGCGGCTAGTCGGCGCACCGGGTGCCCCATCATTTCCACCCAGCCTCCCGAGTATTTCCAATCCGGAGTTCGATCGACCGAGACACTCAAATATCGCATAACTGGGACTGGATCGGGCATCAGCACGAGGCAAACGGCAAGACAGCAGGCGAAGCCACGTTTTGGGCAACAAACTCCGCCGGGAGAAACGGAAATGAATTCCACAAGAAGTTCGCAGCGTCGGTCGCCCGGCGCTGAGATGGGACCAACCCCAAATGTTCCTCCACGATCCATGTCCCCCGCCGTCGGCGTCGGCACCAACCGTCCTGTTGCGCCTCGCTCTTCGGCGTCTTCACGATCAATGCAGCCGACGAGCGCAAGTGGGACTGGGAGTGGCAGCAGACCAGATGGGACGAGACGAGCCAACGTGAGTTCGCATATCCGGTTCCCTATTACCATACAGATCCCTATCCGGCCGACGGCGTCTCCTGTGCATGTTGGCGAACCGACAAGGGCGCAGAGTCTGGTGCCTTGCCGCCATGCTTGCATTTACAGCCGTCAATCTAAAGTGTTGTTGCTAATGATGACGTTTAAACAGTCATCAGGAAGTACTTCGGTCCCCCTCTCCCAGATCGAGAAGAGCGTAACACACCTCCTTGTCGCTACCAAACAACTGCTAGAAACCCTCACACAATGGTCTCGAGGGAACGCCACCGACACCCAGGTGTCCGATGTCTACGTGCGCCTTGGTTACGAGTTCAACATGGCCTGCCGTGCTTTTACCGCCATCAACGTTGACACCTCCGATCTTGGAAACGTGCCGGAGCTGCTGAGGAACATCTTGGAGGCCACGTTGAGCCAGGAGGCGAGCCCGGAAAGCCTGGAGCGCTACCTTCCAAAGATCCGCGACATCATCATCAACCTTCTCCATGGGCTGAAGAGGAAGCAGACCAGGTTAAGACAGCGACAACAGCGGGAGAGAGACAGTGCGCCTGCAGCGAGCGGTTCTGGCGATGCTGCCACCGCCGCCAACCCTCCTGTCCCCTCCCGAACGACCAGCACCAGCACCATGGGGAGCGCCAACTCTGGGCTTACCGCTATGTTGAACGAGGGTCTCGCGGAAGGGTATCGGCCAGAAAGTATGCGAGACGACGGGCGGAGCAATGCGGCGCCCTCTCCGACCAAGCGCTTTCTACAGCGCGATCAGTCCCGCGGCTCCATGAACTCGGAGCAGTCGAGTCTTTCCAGCAACACGATGCAGAACATTCCGGTACTCCCTCCCTACCCGGGCGACGAGACGATTCCCTCTGGGCCTTCGGCAGGCGACTTGAGCAGCTTGGATAACTTCCCGCCGCCACCGCCGCCACCCAAGGCTTCGCAGCAGAGCGCTCTCGCTGCTTTGCAAAGGGGAGGTGATCTCGAAAGGCGGGCATCACGGAGATATTCGGCATATCAGATATCAAAGCATCTCGGCGCTCAGCCTGGCGGTATTCCCATGCTCCCGCCACAGCCGACCCCCATACCGAACCGAGGACGCGGCGAGATCAGGGAGTCGATGCGGGCGATGCAAGCGAGGGGGGATACGGTCCAACACAAGCGCAACACCTCCAGCCAGTCGCGTATAAATCTGGATTCCTCACCCATTCGGGTTCCAAGCCGCGTCTCGGAGGAGCCCGAGGAGCTGCCCGCTGAGGGCCCCACCCCTCGCCCCGAACTGCCTGGGCCTCGGGAGGACGAGGCATTTCGGCCGAGCGCCACCCTTACTGGACCGCCTTCCGATCTTATGCCAATGATCGAGGTGCAGGACGTGGAGCCGGAAAGGCCCCCCACACCAGCGCCAGCTCCGGCGCCGCCCGTCGCGCGTGCCACAACCCCTGATAAACCGCCAAGCACCTTCACCGAGACGCCCCCGGCAACAAAGGAGTTGACTCTTTTTCTCCAGTACAAGTCCAAGGTCAAGAAATTTGTGCTTTCTGGGGGCTACGAGGAGCTATCGATCGGGCGTTTGCAGTTGGCCTTTATCGAGAAGTTCTCATGGAATACACAGCAGAACGGCGCCGACCTGCCGGACATCTACATCCAGGATCCCGTGTCTGGCGTGCGGCATGAACTGGAGGACCTGTCAGACATCAAAGACCGCACCGTCCTGGCGCTCAACGTGGAGCAGCTGGACGAGGTCAAGAGACATATCGACGACGGTCTCGGTTCGCTGAAGAAGATGATATCAGAAATGAAGCAGAACGTTGACGATCAGAGTGCCGCCCTGCAGAGGGTATCGGAACGGCAGCAGGAGACAGCTAAGGACGTGGCTCGGCTGGCCGCCGCCCCTCCGACCATTGTGGCAGCACCGGTCGAGTCCCCGAAGCAGGCTGGGCCCGCGTCAGCAGTGCGTAAAGTCAGCGCTGCCGAGCTCTCCGAGATTCAAAGCTTGCGCCGCGACCTCGCCGTTCTACGGCAAACCTACTCCAACTTCCAATCCGAAATTCAAGGCTCCATGTCCGCTCTCCGCTCCAAGGCCAACAACGTCAAAGTCGCCGCCGCCAACATTGCGGTGCCCGACGTCGAGGGCGGTGCCGGCCACTCGTACGTCATTAGCGGACGCAAGCAGCTCAATGCCGACAGCGACCGGCTCGTCAACAAAGTCGACGACCTGCAGGACCTGGTCGAGGACCTCCGCAAGGACGTCGTCCACCGCGGCGTACGCCCGCTCCCGCGTCAGCTCGAGGCCGTCTCGCGCGACATTGCCCTGCTCACCAAGGAGCTCAGTAAGATGGAGGACTACATGAAGCGAGAAAAGCCCGTGTGGACCAAGATCTGGGAGAAGGAGCTCGAGGAGGTCTGCCAGGGCCGCGACGAGCTGCGGCTGGTGGAGGATCTCATTGTGGATCTGCGCGACGACCTCGAAAAGGCGTCCGAGACGTTTGCGCTTGTTGAGCAGGCCACCAAGGAGCAGATGAAGGATGCCGGCGCCGGCGGCACCGGGTCGTCTGGCGGGACGATCATCGCCACACGGCAGTTCAGCAAAGGGTTGAACTCGATCCGCGAGAACGCGGCGCTCGTCGATCCCAGCGCGGCCAAGGAGGGCGTGCTGGGCGAGGTCAGGGCGCTGCAGCCGAATCATGAGAATAGGCTCGAGGCGATTGAGCGGGCCGAAAAGTTGAGGAGGATGGAGCTTGAGAGGCGGAGGGAGAACCCGCTCAAGAAGGAGCTGGTCAACTTTGTGGAGGAGGGCAAGCTGAAGAAGAGTGGCGGCGTGGAGGAGGTGGAGCGCGCGAGGAAGGCCAAGGATGACCGGATTCGGAGGGAGGTGTGGGAGAGGCAGAATGGGATCGTGCCGGAGAACCCGGTCGGTGAGGAGGGGGACCGCGGGCAGGCGGGAGGGGAGCAGGTCAATGGCGCGGCGGAGGCGGCGAGTGAGGAGTGAGGCTTGGTTAGGGCTATGTTGATGGGATGATGGGAGGATTCTGTCCCTCTTTGCTTGATGTTTCACATGATGCGCCGGGTTTTCTGCTGTAGGCGGCGCGCGGTTGCGGATTATACCCACTGTCCTTTGCTGTTCGGTTTTTTTGTTTCTGCAGTGGCCATTCCGAGGGCGCTTGTCTCACCCACTCGTACCCACCCGTCCTGTATCTTTGGTCATGGATGAGCAAGTGCACTGGTGATCGATCGTGTTACCCCTGGATTGGTCAGCAATGTGACACGCAAGTACCTGCTGTGTCTCGATGCTCCTACCTTGGACTGAGGGGCGAGACCTGGGGGGTTCAAGTGGCAGGATCTGCCGTTTGATCCCCGCACTCGGCACCTCGGTACCCTTTTCAGTTTACTAATTGCGGGCTCGCTCGGATTCAACCTGCTAGGTTGCCAGGAAACCCCGATCGTGTAAGCAGTGGAAAGGACAGGTTGCGAGGCAGAGCGTCATTGCCTGGATTGGAAGGCATGTGGTAGGAAGGAGGGGCAGGCGATCGCCTGTATTTTATCTCCCACCTTCTCTTCTCCGTTCATTGAACCTTGCGCTTTTCCTTCACATCACTCATCGTTCTTCTTGCCTGTTTGCTCCGTGTCCGACTTAGACAACACAGCACTAGCCACACATCTCACGATACACAATGACGCCCGAGTTCGAGGCCAAGCTCAAGAAGGCCGTCGAGAATGGCGACCTTCCCAACGCTGTCATGCTTGCGCGTGACAAATCTGGTATGGAACTGCCCTCCCTTGCGCAAAACATCCACCACTTACTGACGGTCACGGCAGGAAAGATAGACTACAGCTTCTGCGTCGGCCAGACGTCCCTCGAGGAGGGCGCGCCGCCCATCACCCCGACCACTCTCCTGACCATGGCCTCCATGACCAAGCTTCTCACGGCGCTCTGCCTCCTGAACCTCATCCAGCAGGGCGTCTTGGAGCTCGACGAGCCCGTCACACAGTACCTCCCCACGCTCGAGGAGCAGCCCATCCTGACGGGCTTCGACGAGGCCGGCAAGCCCACTTTCAAGCCCCGCACGCTGCCCATCACGCTGCGCCACCTGCTCACGCACACGGCCGGCACGGGCTACCTGTTTCTGGACGAACGCCTGATGCAGTGGGCCAAGGCGACGGGCTTTCCGCTGCCAATCCCGCTGCGGCATAGCCCCCTGTCGGGCGGCCGCTCGGTCGACTCGCGCTTCGGCTATCCGCTGCTGTTTGAGCCCGGCGAGGGGTGGGTCTATGGCAGCGGCCTAGACTGGGCGGGCCGGCTCATCGAAAAAATGACCGGCGCCTTCTTCGACGATTTCTTACACGACAATGTCTTGAGAAAGGTTGGTGTCCCCCACGGCGGCATCACGTTCCACCCTGGCCGGTTCGGCACGCCGCCGGTTGATGTGATGGCGGGCATGTCGAAGCGCGACAAGCAGACGGGCAAGGTGGTGGCTATGCCCGAGGCGGAGTACGACAACGACAACGAGGCATTTGGCGGCGAGGGGTGTTTTGGGGGGATGGGCGAGTACATGAAGGTGCTGTACTCGCTCCTGATGGATGATGGCAAGATCCTGGCCCCAGAGTACGCAAAGCTCCTGTTTGAGCCGCTGCTGCCTCCCAAGGAGAAGGAGGCGCTGCACAAGGCCCTCGAGGACCCCGATTGGGCTGTGGGCCATATCCCCGAAGGGGTCGACTATGATTGGAGCGCGGGCGGCTTGTTGACCAACAGCGACAACCACGAGTACAGGAAGAAGGGGTTCGTGCAGTGGAGTGGCGCGTGGAACCTGTCTTGGGTGAGTCCTGCCGTGACGACGCAAGAGGAATTGGAGATCGGTTGCTGACAGTCGGGCAGTTCATTGACCGGGAGGCGGGCGTGTGTGGTGTTTTTGGCACGCAGATCAACCCCCCGGCAGATCCGACGGCGCGGGCATACATGAAGGAGTTTGAGGAGCTCATCTACGCGAAGATTAAGACTTGAGCGGAGGCAGAAGTGCGGGCCGGGCTTTGATGTTGATGCTAGTATGGTGTTCTGCGGACATCGATAGAGGCGGACGAAGTCAACGGCAACCGTTGACCGGTAGCGATAGATGGCCTGGGAAGGTAGAACACATATCCTGGGCGGGACGAAACGTTACAGAATAAACGGCGTATTCTAGCACTCAGAGGGCCAGATACAACTACAATTTTCTCATGGTTTTTGATACGTGGATATGTCCGGTGCCATGCGTGGTGGAGTGTCTCGATAGCTTCGCTGGCCCCATCCAGCCTGCGGTAGACGAGAAGGAGACAGGAGCTTTACAAAAACGGAGCTTTATGTGGTTTCAAATCGTTAGTGACCACATACGCAAGGCTGGAGGTTGACAAAGCCAAGGTGAAAGCCCTGAGACACCTGCGGGTGGGTAGGAAGGAGGAACCTCACCTCGCCATACTGTCATGCCTCATCAGACCACTCTCTCACGAAGCACGGTAAAAGTGCTGAATCAAAACCATCAATATTTGATCGCCTATACAAGACTCATGTTTTCACACAAGAAATTCCTCTATCCCGGACATACAACCACCCACCCACCCATCCATCATCCATCCATCATCCAGGGCAACCACCCACCGGCTGCAATGCATCACACCCAACCTGTCCGCATCCGCCCATCTACCTGCTTTATAACCAACATGAACATCATAACATCCATCTCAAAATTCACCAGTAACTCCGTGGTTTGATTCCCAGCCACCGCCCTTCCCACACAAACGAAAGGCCCGAGAGCATCAAAACCAACCCATTCACGAGTACTGTTCATACAACCCAGCCGCGCCCGGCGGCGCATTCCGGGGTCCCTGTCCTTCAACTCCAGGCCGTAGCTGTCTCCCTAGAATGGCCCCGCCTCCACCCCCACCACTCTGATGATCCCTGGGATCCCTCTGCCCCTGCATCTCCCTCATCTGCGCCTCCCGCATGTGTTGATCCCTCAACAGATCCTGCTGTTGCTGCTGCTGCTGCGCCTGCGTCATGTATTGTTGCTGTTGCTGCTGTTGTTGTGGCTGCGGCTGTGACTGCTGCTGCTGTGACGGAGGAGGACCGGGTGGTCCCGGAGGCGGCCCACGGTGGTCAAACCCCCCTCCAGAGACAGGAGTAAAACTCCTGACAGATTCCCTACCCTGTTGGGCGGGGGGGCCGGGGGTACTGGTGTACCGCGCGTAGGGCGGCTGGCCGGCTTGTTGCGGCATGTGCTGCTGCTCGCCTCGCCGTACTGCATCTTGGGGTCCTGGGGCGTACCGTCCGCCGCCGAGCGAGTTGTGATGTTGGTGGTGCGGATGATGGGGCATACCTGCAGTGGGGCTCTGGGACTCATAGACCGACGACCCCCGGGAATCGCGGAGGCTGAGGGGGTGAGGTTGTGGATGGTTTGGCCCAGAGGTTGGCCAAGTATGGTGTTGTTGAGGCGGATGAGGACTGCTGGCTGCGGGTTTGGCTTGGACGCCGCCGTGCTGAGCGCCCCATGCCGATTGCGCTGGCACAGGTTGCGCCGCCTTGGGGGGTGCCTGGTGCGACGGCGGCCAGCCTGATTGTGACGGATGCGGCTGGTGCTGGTGATGATGATGTTGCTGCTGCTGCGGCGGAAGTTGTTGCGGGAGCTGCTGGTGTTGATGCATAGGCTGCGGTTGCTGTTGTGGCCACGGCTCACGACCAGATGGCGGCTGCGGCTCCCGTCTGCTCGACATGGACGGATGCGGCGCGTATTGTGTTGTGGGAGATGCAGTGTGCGGTTGACTAACTTGATACGGCTGGTACGGCTGCTGCCCCTGGTACCCCATTTGGGTTGGTTGGGGGTGCTGCTGAACGTGCTGCCCATGCTGCGCGTAGTGATGTGCTTCTCGTGTCTGGGGCGACTTTGTCGCACCGACGGAGTGCTGAGACGGATACGGATGCCGGGCGTAGTAGTCGCGCTGGGCATCTGCTGCCGCGTCCACACTCGATGCCATCCCGGTGCTCGGCACCCGCATGTGTTGCGGCTGCGGTGATTGGGTGTGGTACGGCTTGAGTGGTGGAATTGTTGATTGCGGTGCCGGAGCAGGGGTGCGAGCATACGGGTATCCCTGATCGACTTCCCTGCGTGACGGCAGCGGCGCAGAAGTCGGAGGGGGTTGGCGAGCCATAGATTGGGGCTGAGGGGTTGAATTTCTCTTGACCAATGGTACATCTGCTACTCTTTTAGGCTGAGGCGGATCATCGTCGTTGAGCAGCGACATGATGTTGACTTTGCGTTCTGGAGCGCGCGAGGGGGCAGGTGGAGGCTGAGGCTGAGCCTGGGGGTGGGATGGTGTGGGAGGAGCAGACACCGGAACTGCACCATATTGCTCTTGCATCGACACGGGCGGCTGTCGTTGCATACTTGACAGAGGCAATTCGTTTGGCGGCATGTGTGAGACTTGCGGCCCTGGAACTGATTCGACAATCATGTTGCGCACAGGTTGTGCATGAACCGGCGGTGCGTATGACTGCGGAACAGGTGCTGGAGCACGGGCCGGCTCTGGTTGTCTCCCAAGAGGGGTAGTATCGACCCGAGTGGAGATAGGCCGCTGTGGCGGCTGGAATTGAGCGTATGACTCTTGGTGATGAAGCGGCTGGTCGGGTTCTTGCTTCAGGCGCAACGATGCCCGTTCAACCGGTCGAGGAGACTCGCGCTGTGCGAGTTGCAGCCTCTGTCGCTCTCGCGCGTCACGGGCGTCACGGGCTTCTTTTGCCTGTGACAAGAGCGAAAACTGCTGGCCAAGGTCTGTTACCCATGCGGCCGGGCGTGGAGCGGGTTCGGAGATCGGAGGCACAGGAACCGTGGCAGAAACGGGCTTCTGGGAAATCCGAGCAGGCTGTTGGGCTTGCGCGGGAACCTCCGCTTCCCTCTCCGGATACGTGTAAGCCGGGGCCGGTGGGCGGAGAGGGTGAGTGTGCGGTGACATGGTCTGAGTTGCGGGGGTTCCAGGGACTGTTGACTGGGCTGCCGCAGCCGTGGCTAGGGACGTAGTCATGCCAACTGGAGCAGGCTGAACAAGCGGATGAGAAACCGGTGTAGCCTGGGCAATCGGCACCTGGAAGCGTTGAAACGGTTGGTTCTGTGGCTCGACCTTTGTCAGAAGCGTCTCATCGGGCTCGGCGGCCGCCAGGGGCCTGTGCCCGGTTGACGAAACATCGTATCTCTTTCGCGGTCCTTGTGTCGGCGTTGGTGGCGCCGGTCGCTTTTCGCCTCTCTGAGCCTTGGCATCGGCCTCCGTCGCAATCTGTTCCCACTCCGGCTTGCCCCCTTCTTTCGTCTGACGGACATAGTAGTTCTTAACCTGTTGATCAGGATTAGTCGGTTGTGAATGATTGGAACGTGAAAGCGGGCACGGTACCATGGTTGCTGTCTTGGTTTGCATGTGATTGGCGATCTTGACCCAGTCCGTGCCAAAAGCCCTGAGCAAGCCAGGGAAGTCCGTAGTCTCTGATACACTCCAGTAGCTCGACGCTTGTCCTGGAGTACGGATGCGCTCTGGACCGACTGACTGGGAGATCTCGAATGTGGGCACCGAGGCGGGCGGCAGCGGTGGCGGTTCGGGACGCAGGGAAGGTGGTGCCATGACCTCGGACATGGCAGATGATATCGAGGGCATGCCTCGATCGGGGCCGGGGAGCGGACTTTGTTGGACCTGGTGGAGCGGCGGCTGCATTGCCGGGTGGGGAACCTCGTAAGAGAGGGGGATACGGGCAGCCAGATCGACAGGAGTCTGTGGCGACGCCCAGTCTGGGACCTGGGCCTTGGAGTTGGCGCGGGATCTGCCCGTCTTGACAGGGACAGCGAGAGGCGTTGCACCAGGAGGAGCCTGTGCGAGTAGCTTCGGCGCTTTCGCTTCCTTGTCGGCCCTAGGCTGACGGGGCTTTCGCCCGCCTCTCTTGCTCTCCGACTTCTCAGCACCGGCCTCGCTCTTAGCTTCGGCCGCCGTGCCGGCCCTCCGGCGGCCGGGTGTGGGCGCAGGAGTAGCGCCGTCCGACTCTGCATTCGACGTGGCCTCGCTCGGCCAGACTGGTGCAGCAGCACGGCGAGGCGGCCGCCTACGCTCGCCATTCTCGCCCGTGTCCTGACCTGCTGTGTCTTCTGTCTCGTTCTCGGTGTTGCCCAGCTCCGACACCAATGCGCTGGAGCGCTGCTTTGCTCGGCTGCCCTTCTTGCGCCTTCTAGGCTGCTTCTTAAGCTTGTCCTTGAGGTTGAGCTCGCGCTTCATTGCATAATAGTAGAGAATACAGGTCCCTGGATCCCGGGCTCCCACCTCCTTCGAGATTTTGCCCCATTGCTTGGGACTCTCAAGGTAGGCCTTCTCGAACCGCTCGGCCTCTTCCGGGGTGAAGTTGATGTGGTGAGGCACAACCTGCCAGGTTGCAACCACTTTCTCCAGCGGTATCAGGCCGGATGCGTCGTAGAACGACGCTTGCTCTCTCTCCTCGTCTGTCCAGAACATATCAGGAATCACGGCCTCCTTATCGCTGCGGTACTTTTCCTTCTGTGCTCTCTCCTCTCTTTCTTTCCTTTCTTGGTGCTCACGGATCGACTCCTGAATGGCAGCCTCAAGGTCCAATTCGGTCGAGAAACGGCCTGCCGCTCTTCTGCCCCCTTCAGGCTTGGAGTCTGAGCTAGCCGGCTTACCGTTGGACACCTGCTGGGTTCCGGAGCTGATGAAGTACTCGCGGCTCTTCACGGCGGCTGGATCGTCAGACATGGTGAAGCGCAGATATGACTCGTATTTCTTGGCGTAGTCACGCTTTGCGTCTTCTTGCGCATATGTCACCGATATGGTTTGATCCCGAATGTGGGCAAGGAAGAAGTCGCCAAACTCGGATGACTTGTCGGCCAACTTGCGGACCCGCCGGCTCTGGAACCAAGGCTTGACATTGTAGATGGGCAAGTCTTCGGTAGGTGGTGTGGCAGAGAACTCCCTGGCGGCTTCGACAGTGCCATATATGCTGCCATCGTCCTCGGTTCTGTCCTCGCTCTCCTCGTCTGGTGACGCGCTGCTTCTTCCAATATCCGCATGGTCGAATGGGTGTGGGAAGAGCGCAGGACCTTCTCCGTCTACCGGGCCGTTGATCGATACGGATCTGTGGGCTGGGCCCACTGTTGCCGGAAGCTCCGCAACATCCTGCATCTCGGCGTCTTGCTCCGACGGATTCGCAGGCTTTAAGGTCGGTACGGGTGGTAGGCCTGAGCCGTCTGTGTCCATCTCCTCAACCTTTGGTTGGGGTTCCGGCGGGTGTAAGGAACTCTCATCCGCTTCTTCCACAGTCGGGATGGCTGAGGGTTCGCGAGTCGCCGGCGCCGTCTCCCGGTCCTCCTGGTCCTGGACTTGCATATCAGGCATCTCTTGGTCGTTCACCTCCATTTCGGGCTTGGGGCAAGGGAATGTGAAACCCTCAGGAATGGGCCCAACCATGTCCACCAAGCTCACTGGGTCGTTGAGCACGCTGAGCATGGCCTCGTGTAGTGCGGTCGCGTATCGCTGGACGATGCGCATCGGGACCTTATCAACTGCGTCCTTGAGCTTCTTTAGCTCTGCTTCTGTCTTGGATATTTCCCGTTCAAAGTAGACGTCCATATCCTCATCATCGTCCGATTCGGAAAACTCATCCAACACAGTAGCCGATGCTTCCTTCGCTGGCAGCTGTATTCGAGAGGAGGAAACTGCAAGAATGGTAGGCGTCTGGTCGACGGGCGTGGGACGTTTATGTTCTTCCTCTGGAGTCTCGACAGGAGCTTCGCCAGCTTTCGATACGACAGGGCTTCCTGCTTGCTTGTTATGGCGCGGCACCTGCTCCAAAGGCGCTCTGTCTGTATCCATACCTCCCAACCTGAAGTCGGCACTGGTGGGCGCTGTTTTGGTCTCTCGGTCAACCGATGTCCTGGCGGACTGGGAACCCCTCTCCGACTTAATCACAATCTCATTCGGACCCGTGGCGACATGGGCTCCATATCGGTTGGCAATCACGGCGTGGGTGTCCGACCTGGCCGCGGGACTTTGGGGGCGTTTATCAAAGTCCCGATGGTGGTCTGGGTGTGGGGGGTAGCCCCCTGACAGCCTGGCTTGCTGCGGGGGGAAGTTCTGCGATCTGGCGGTTTTCGGGGACTCCTGAACCTGTACCTTTTTCACAGTTAAGGAAGGGTTAATCCACTGCTTGCTCGAGCGCTGCTGTTTTTGTTGTGCTCGGGGTCCCAGGGGTATAGGCGGGCCAGCATCTGGTACTGCCGGCTTCGATGGGCCGGTAGGCGGCGGTCGCTCATTCCCGACACTATGACCGGCCGAAGCTGGTCTTTCTTCGGTTAATGCTCTGGGGCCGGTTGGCGGAGGCTTTCCGGTTAGTGACTGGATGTCCGTCGACGTCGACTGACGGCTCGGCACTGAGCCAAACGCAGGAGCGGAAGGGGCCAGGGGGGGCGGTGAGACATCTTTTGCAGACGGGGGCTCGTGTGCGACGTGGTCGAGCTTCGGGCGGATAAGCTCGCGGTCCCTGTTTTCCCGGTCCCTGATCTCGCGCTCGTCATGAAGATCCCTAGCCGTATCCGGGTACCGAGTGTCCCTGCGTTCCCGATCATCTTGCTCCCGTCCCCATCGGCCTTCCTGCGATCGACTTCGGGGGTAGCGGTCTCGATCATCATAGAAATTCAGCCTGTCCCTGCCCGGTCTCTGATCCCAGTCACCTCGTCCTCGTCCTCCCCCTCTACCTCCGCCGCGACCAAATCCGCCACGGAAAGGTGGGGGACCAAGCATAGGATCCGAATTGGACGAGCCAGCGGAGAGTGGCCCATCTCTTGAACCACGTCTCGCCCGCTCGGCGTCAACTCCCAGGGGCATGTCCCTAGGATCCCTGAAATCCCGCCCTGGAGGTGGGGACCGTGCCCGTAGTGGAGGGGGGGATGGTCTCCGGCCGCGAGGAAAGTCAACTCGATCTCGCTGGTCTCGCTGCCAGTCCCGCTCCCTCTCGCGCTCCCGCTCATGAATCCGCTCGCGCTCGCGGCTTCGCTCGTCCCTGAAGTGAGGCCTGTCTCGGTAATCCTCACGGTCACGGCCGCCATCGCGTAGTTCATCGCGCCACTGGCGGCCGCGACCTCCGCCTCGTCCTCTGCCGCCACGAAAATCTCCAGCAAATCCGCCGCCACGGGGCCCGCTTGGCGGATCAAGCAGCGCTTTCGGACCGCGAGGAGGCTGGATTCCCAACAGCGAATCGCGGTATCCATCACGGCTCAATGGAAAGCCGGGCGGGTTACCCCGGCTATCTGGTGGCGGGCGGCGACGGTCGGTATCAGAGAACTGCGGGCCGCGTTCGCCTCGGTCTCCGTAAGGGGATCTGTCACGAGGTGACCGGGACCGACGGTCGCCGTCAAAACGGCTGCCCATATACCTCGACCTGGCCAAATAGTGGTGGTTAGCTTCGACGCTGGTGGGGCCACGGCGAAAGACAGCTCCCGCGCTATGCTTGGCTCGGGCTCCATATGTTCAAGAAAAGAAATGGAGGGGAATAACCAGGTGTGAAGGAAGGAAGAGATGTACATTGATTGCAATGGGCGCGAGGCCGCTCAGTATCTCATATGTCGGCGATCACACCTCGATGCTCATGACTCCCTCGGTACGACACCACAATCCAAATTTCTGGAGGCCAAAGTACCGACGGCGGGTGCTGGAAAATTGACCGGTACCGTTGTGCAGGGCGCTCGGATCGTTGGGCTGCCGGCTGCGCTTTGAGGACTGCAAGTGGCGAAGGCTGCAGAGCTCAGCGAGGCTCACAAATGGCCCGAACGTCGTCTAGAAACACTATAGTCGCCCAAATATGCAGCTTCCGGTAAGACGACCGCCCGCAGTCGAGTTGGGTCGTGTTCGGATGCAGAGAAACAGGTAACGCGATGCTTGATGGAGGCTGGTGTTTTGGGGAAGGGAAGATTGATGACCGGGAAGTGGGTCTCGAAACCCCAATGCGCACAGACCACAGTCTTCTGTCTCGGTGCTTGCGGGTGCGCCGGGCCCTGCAGACTGTGCAGAGGAGTGGAACCTCCAACCGCTGAGTTTGCTCCACATTTTCGACCTCCAAGCGACAAACAGGAATGTGGGTCGTGCAGCCCAAGCCGCTCGTGCCGCGTGCTAGTCCCAAGCTGGCTAGATCTGCAGGAGCCGGCGCGCTGAAAGCCCACCTTGACAATCGCCCCTATTGGTGGGATCGGCCAATGCGGCAGAGATTTAAATGTTAGTGCAGAGCGCCAAGACCAACCTTACCCAGTGCCCTCAATCTCCTTTCAAAATATCGCAAGGCATTTATTTGTATGCATATCGAGGCTCGAAAGTTGAAAGATCTTTACATCCCTGGACTCATCTTCTGATCGGAGCTTGGCTTAGTATTAGTAGCAACCGCTGACCGCCATAAAATTTCATTCGGAACCAGGTACCGTGAGTGGCAAGTTGGGCGCATCACTTAATCCTCAGGGTTCATCTGAAAGATTTCAAACTTAGCTGATCACGGCGACGTGGTTCAGGCCACCAAAGGGTGCCGATCACCGTCGCTCTCAGAAGGTGTTGAACATAAGCTGTAGGCAGCTGACAAGTACCACCGACACCAACCGACACCCTTTACTCACGCACACCCCCACAAGATGAACGCGAATGCACCCCCCAGCGCTGCCACAGAGGCAGTGTTGGTCAAGTCGGTCGAGATGCCTGAGGGCTCACAAAAGGTAGAGGAGCTCGACTTCAACAAGTTCAAGGGCCGCCCCATCACCGTCGACGACCTCTACCAAGGCATGAAGCACATGGGCTTCCAGGCGTCATCCATGTGCGAGGCCATCCGCATCATCAACGAAATGGTACGAATCGGTTGACCTTGCTTGCAAACGGCGCCAGAGTACGTCGGCACGGGCGCAGTCCGCACCACTAACTGACTCCAGCGAGCATGGCGAGACCCGGAGTCCGGAGACAAGACTACCATCTTCTTGGGCTATACATCCAACATGATCTCATCCGGCCTCAGGGGCATCTTCCGGTACCTTGTCCAGCAGAAACATGTCTCGGCCATTGTGACCACAGCAGGAGGGATTGAAGAAGACTTCATCAAGTGTCTCGGTGACACCTACATGTCCTCCTTCAGCGCCGCCGGCGCCGAACTGCGTGCCAAGGGTCTCAACCGGATAGGCAACCTGGTCGTGCCCAACTCCAACTACTGCGCCTTTGAGGACTGGGTCGTCCCCATTCTCGACAAGATGCTGGCAGAGCAGGAGGCCAGCCGTGGGACCGACGACGAGGTCAACTGGACGCCCTCCAAAATCATCCACCGTCTCGGCAAGGAGATCAACGATGAGCGGTCCGTCTACTACTGGGCGTACAAGAACGACATCCCCGTCTTCTGTCCTGCATTGACGGACGGCAGTCTCGGCGACATGCTGTACTTCCACACCTTCAAGTCCTCGCCCAAGCAGCTCAGGGTAGACATTGTCGAGGACATCCGCAAGATCAATACCATTGCCGTAAGGGCGCACCGCGCTGGCATGATCATTCTGGGTGGCGGAGTGGTCAAGCATCACATCGCGAACGCGTGCTTGATGCGGAACGGGGCTGAGTCGGCGGTGTATATCAATACCGCCCAGGAGTTTGACGGGAGTGATGCTGGGGCGCGGCCAGACGAGGCCGTGTCATGGGGCAAGATTAAGGTTGGGGCAGACGCAGTCAAGGTGAGTTGGGCTCGTCGAAGTTCTTTGGCTGGTTGCTAATCACTTTCAAGGTGTACGTCGAGGCTACAACTTGCTTCCCATTCATCGTAGCAAACACTTTTGCAAAAGACGACCAATAGGACTACACTTTACCCGTCCACCTTTCTCCGGTTACAATCACACGGATAGATGGCTCCTGCTGATCAAGCAGAGTTGCTTGCCACTCCCAAATCCAAAACGATCTGACCTAGCAAGCAAGCTGGACACCCGAGAATTGCTCTTATACATCGACATGTGCTTGGACAATCGTAAAGTGCCCTCGCAGAAGTCTTGTCACCTCTGTTTATATGTAAATGTATGGAGAAAGCCTTACGCCCAGTTGCACCGCTAACAACCGGCCCGCAGGAACGAGAAAGCGTCTGCAGCTTAAGAATGTGAGTCTCTAGCCAAGATAGTCCCATAGATGTATTGTGGCTATCTTTTGGCATCTGTCGTTGTTGAAACTTGTATTTATGAGTGATTTTGGCTGTGATTTCAGGGAGGTGACCACACTTTTGCGATAGGTACTATGACCGAGTTGTTGGCTCTAACGTCCCCAAGGTGAGGAAACGGTAATGGGGGTTATGTACTTGAGGGTATACTTCATGGGCAGAGGATATTCACCGTTCTCTAAAAACCGGTGAGAAAGCCCTTACACCGAGCCTTGTGGGGATCGGCGCTGGGGAATGTAACCCAGCTACGACGCTAACGAGCAACTCAACACTGGTGAGAGTGGAACGGACATGACACGAGGGAAGTATGTCTGGTGAATAGGATGTATGTAATGTAAAGGTATTGAACTGGAACTGGACATCGCATTCGTCACGCTAGAGACATCCATTATGGGCATACCACACCCCAATGTGCACACTTACTTCTCCTTCGCAGCATCCGCCTCGGCCCTCCTCCTCGCCCCAAGCACCGCTTTGCCCACGGTACTCGCATTCTCCTTCCCAATCTCCCTCGTAATCCACTCCCCAATATCAACAACCTTATCCAAGTCCACGCCGGTATCCATGCCCAACGTCTCCATAAAATACACCATATCCTCCGTCGCCACATTCCCTGTGGCACCCGGCGAGTATGGACATCCGCCCAGCCCACCCACACTGCAATCAAACGTCCTGATGCCGTGTTCGAGCGCAACAGCGGTGTTCACCAGCGCCTGGCCGTACGTATTATGGAAATGCATCGCAACGTCTTCGTTCCGTACGCCGGCCTTGCTCAAGCAATTCAACAGTTCTTTGGTCCGCGGCGCGGTGCCCATGCCCGTCGTGTCGCCCAGCGCGATCTCGTCGGCGCCCATCTCGAGCAGCTCCGTCGCGATCTCGGCCACCTTGTGCGGGGCCACGTCGTACCCCTCGAACGGGCAGCCCAGCACCACTGAGATGTAGGCGCGCACGCGCAGCGAGTGCGTGTCCTTGGCCGCTTGGATGACCTGCTTGAAGCTGGCCAGGGAGGCGGCGATGGAGGTGTTGAGGTTGCGCTGGGAGAAGGACTCGGTGGCGGAGGCGAAGACGGCGATTTCGAGGGCGGGTTTCGTTAGTTGCGGGGAGGAGCCCTCAGTTGCGAAGCTGGTCGGATGTTGGGAGAGGATGGCAAAGGCGTTGTTTAGGCCTTTGAGGTTTGGGGCGAGGAAGGAGAAGGTGAGTGGGTGTGTGGACGAGGGCGGCTCCGTGAGAAGGTGTTGGAGGATCTCTGACGAGTTGTCCATCTGTTTGACGTGTTAGGCGTCTGCATAATTTGGATAGGACGGGGACCTAATGGAGGTCAGACCTGGGGCACCCACTTTGGCGAGACGAACGATCCGGCTTCGATAGTCGTCAAGCCCGTCTTTGCCAAGCGGTCAATTAGGTCCAGCTTAATGGCCAGCGGGATGGTCTTTCTTTCGTTTTGGAGGCCATCGCGGGGCCCGACCTCGACGAGTTTGACGCGGTAATCGGACGAGGGGCGCTGCGTATCCGATGCTGTTGCTGTCGCAAACGTCCGGGCAGGGCGATGCATGCGCGGCCGCAAGGCCAGCATTCGACGGGAAAACAGCGTGTACCTCGTCATTGTATATGTTGGTTAGCCCATGAATGAGAAGGGTTGGAGTAGATGGTTCCAGGTCGCCAGTGGGCGGCTGTTGGCAGCCGAAGAGGTATCTGGAGATGCCGAGTGACGTCGCATAGCATCGGCGTTAGAGTTGCAGGCGTTGATAGCACGTGACTGATGACAGAGATCATGTCAAGTGGGGCTCTCACCAGGCTCTTCTTGTCAATCCCGAATCCATTTCACACGGAAACAGCGCTTGAAATCCTGCTCAAAGAACAACATCACTCATCAAAATCATCTGGTGCTCTTGACCTTCCCTTTTCCTTCAGAATATGATGTATTCAACCGTGTCCTTCGAGGAGAGAGAAACGAATGAAATATCCAAGCAAAAACCATCAACCCCATTTTACTCGTTGATCACACTGGTTGACAGTGTCTGCGAAGTCCTGCTAACAGGCAACAATGCCCTCTCCTTACTCCCCTCCTCCCCGAACAAAGCCTTATGCTCAAACTCTAGAAAACCCTGGAACACGGCTACCTCATTACGATACGCCATGGCCACCGAACTCTTCTTACACACGATACGCGCAATCGGCTTCCCCCCCGTCTGCCATACCGAGGGTATGAAGAAGTGCCGGATATAGTACCCGGTCTTACTGCTACTCCCAGCCGAATTCGGACTCAAACTCTCCAGACTAATCGAGCACACCCACCCGCGCCCGCTCATAAACAACAGACTGGACCGATGGATCCCGAGCACTGACTTGACGTGCGACACGAGCTGGCGCGCTGTGCAGGCGATCTGGACGTTGGTGGTCGTTGCCGGGTCGTCGATCGCGGCGAGATCGATTGTGAGAAATCCTGTCTGTGACGAGTGCGGCATGGCGATAGTTTGGACGAGTGTGCCTAGACCTGGGCGGGAATGCCACTCGTCCGAGAGGGCGACGGGTGTGGAGGTGAGCTCAGGAGGAAGGTCGATGGCGATGCCGCGTGCCCGGGTTTCGTGACTGAGGTCTTTCCAGCGAAACAGGTGCAGGACTGCGCCCCGTTGTCGAAGAGGAGGAGGCGGGCAGGGTCGGTGGGGTGTGACAGCCAACGGGCTTTGTTTTGGGAGTGGGTGGACTGCGCGATGCAGCCGCAACCCGGCGAGTGCAATTCCTCGCCGGACTGGGTTGACACGAGGAATGTGGATGCGTCCGGGCTGATGAGAGCCTGCAGGACGGTGTCGGCGGCGCGGAAGTCGAGGATCGTTTGGAACTGTTGAAGCTGGAGTTGCTGGTGCTGCTTTTGTACTGCTGTTGCTGCAGCAGTGGAGGTCGGCAGCCTCAGCCGTGTGGCAATGCATCGGCGAGAGGCATCGACACTGAACAGCACGTTTCTTTGCGCGTTCCACTCGACGTGGCGGATGTCCACCATGCGAGCATGGAACTGGAACTCGGCGCACACCCTACTTGAGCTGATGTCGTGCACCGTGATGGATCCTTCCTCGCGACCGCAAAAGACATAGTTCGACTCTCCCGCCTGCGTCATGGCGGTGATCGCCTTGCTTCTTTCAAACGTCCGAGTACAGATCAGGTTTGACGCAGGCATCACGTAGTCGTCAGCCTCGCTCGAGTTGTCGTCCGTGAGGTTCTTCTTGATGAGAACGGCTGGCTCCCAGACATTACGACTATTGCCCCGGATATCAAAGAGCCGCAGGCTGTTGGCCGCGAACACGATGCCCATGATGCGCTCCTCCAGAGACTCGATCCGGCACAGCAGCCGAAACCCGTCAAAAGCAAACAGCGAGATGACGCACTCGCTGTCTCCCGCAGCCAAGGTATGCCCATCGGGGGACGCCGCCAACGTGTGTGCGTTCAAGTGGTAGCTATGCTTCTGCTGTAGCGTCCAGGGATCCAGCGTGACAAGGTCCCCGTCCTGGTACGCCACAGCCATGAGATTCTGCTCGGCATTCTCATTGAACGCCATATCCAGCACCTGCGGCGGGATCCCTCCATCCTCATACCCCTCCTTCTCAAACTCCTCCACCCTCTCATCGCTCTCATAATAAGACAGCTTTAGGTGCGAGCTGCGGTACGCAATCGCCGCGATGCCCAACATGGGACTGATCCGTATCAGCATCGGCATCGTCCTCTTCTGCACATATTCCCCGCCATCCGAGTCGGACTCCGACGACGACGACAAGTCCTCCTCCAGAATCGCCAACTCATCAAGCCGAACCCCGTTCTTCGCCCGATACACATAAACCTCCCCGTTCCTCAGGGGCACATAAACCTTCGAATCATCCGGACTAAACCGGAATGAAAGCGGCTGCTCCGGCAACGTCGCCGACCATAATAGCGCATGCTTCGTACCGCCTCCACCCCATACCTTGAGCGTTCTCAACCCAGCCGGTAGATCTTGACGGAGCCGTCGCTGAGGCCGACCGCAAAGAACTGATCCGCGCAGGCGATTGACAGGACGCGCGAGGTGAAGCTAAACGACGACAGCCGCTCGTCCCAGTCGTTGTTGAAGGTGCAGAGAACCTTTTGCTTGAACTGATCCCGGGCGAAACTTCCAGTGGATGATGCTTGACTTGGGGCAGAGCAGAGGGATGAGTCAGTAGATGGAGGACGCGGTGTTGAGGAGGTTTTGGCCGTGAATGGCGGATAGTCGGACCAGATCGTCGACGAAGCGGAAGGCTAGCTGGTAGTCTGAGTCGAGCGGGGACGAGGTGACTACCTGCCGGTCGAGGTAGTCTTTGAGGTTTTGAATGGTGCGCGTCAGGAGGGAGAGGCGGCCGGTTCTGGCGACGCGCTCAATCCAGGTTAACACGTTGGATGAGAAAAAGGTGCCGAGGAGGGGAAGGAGTTCGAGGGTGGATTCCGAGGGCGAGCAGTGCGCGAGGTGGTATGAGAAGTTGGTGCTGGCGTAGTCGTCGAAGATGGCGTTGTTGTCGATCTTGGAGGAGACGGCAGGCCCCCGACGTGTGCGCGGCGGGCTGAAGTTGCGGCCGTTGAGGTGCTGCAGGCAGAGCTCGGCGATGCGGGCGTGGGACCAGGAGCGCGGGATATAGTAGTCGGTCTGTTCCCCGGTCAAAAACTCTTTGACGGTCTGGTGCATAACTTGGACGAGGTTGTTGTCGACGGTAATGAGGTTGCCGCAGATTTGGGCGAATCGGTCGGATGTCCTCAGCGTCTGGTTGATGTCCAACCGCACCACCTCCCGCAAGTCATCCGTTGTTAGGGGTTTTCGGGCGCAGACGACCCACTTCAAGACGCAGTGGCGAGATCCCCGTTGGGCGACTCCACGATGCTCTTCAGAATGCCGCTGTACATGCCGCTCATCTCGGACGGCACCTGGTCGAGGGTCTTACGCATGGCTTCAATAATGTGGGCCTCGTCCAAGCGCGTCATGATCAAAGACGCCCAGAGGAAGATGCCGTTCGATTTTTCGATTATCTCAGCCACTAGGTCGCCTTCCTCTTCATCTCCATTGAAGTCTTGGATGATGTTCGGGGACAATTTCGACCTCACAAAGGCATCGTTATCCCTCAGCGACTCGGCTTGCCCAGTATCCAATTCCACACGCATAATCCGCTCCTGGTTCAGCAGACGCTCGACATGGCCGCTAGGGCGGCTAGTGATGAAATCCGAAGTGGAGCAGTCGCCTCGATCCTGGCGAACATGGACATGAGCGTGGTCAGCAACCGCGAAGGGCACTCATCCAGTGCGTCGATAACCCAGTACTGGGGCTGAGACAGAGCCATCTTGAAGATGCGCCCCAGGAATATGTTGTTCCAAACCATAATGTGGTCGCTCTGGCTGTCGATGGTCTCGCCCTCCTCCATCATGGCGAGAAACGTGTGCCGGATTTGAAAGTTTGACTCCGCCATCTGCAGCGCCATTGACAAAAGGAACTGCGTCAGGCTTGGCTTCTCGTTATTCTTGAAGAAGAAGTAGGCACCATCCAGGTTGGCGGACTCGAGGTACTTGATGACGTGCCCGGAGGCAACCGACTTGCCCGAGCCCGGCAGGCCGTTGAGCCACAGGAATCGCGGCGTCATCTTGGAATGGCCTGAAGTGATAGCCTTGACCGTGAAGTTGGCGTCCATGACATCGCACTCGAGCCAGTCGTGGAATGACTGGTGGTCCGTCAGCCATTCGCAGGATCCCGTGTGCAGCTTGTCAAGCATCCGTATGAAGTCGCCATCTGGGCCATCTGCGACGTCGAAGGCTTGGGCAATCTGTTTCATTTGTGTTCGGTGGTCTTCGGACTTGTCTACGACATCTGTGTCTGTTAAGTTACAGCTACGGCCAGTTGTAACCCCTCGCTTACAGTCTTTCTCAATCTCCTCAATGGTGGTGTTGAAGCAGCGAAGCAGGATGTTGTAGACTAGTTGGGGTCCTCTACTGAGTTGAACTTGACCAACCGGCGGTGGTCAGCCTGCAGGTATTGAGTGTGCTCCCCAGGCAATCCTGTCAAGGGTTAGCATAGTGGATATGGCGCATCGACTGGAGCCCTACCCATAACGGCCGACTCCTTCTCGACGATCATCGTATTGGTTGGACCTGTAGAGGTTGGAAGGCCCTCGAAGAAGGACCAGAGACGCACATCGTTGCAGACGTGCCAGAGTTCATCGTTGATGGCCTAAAGTGTCAGGGTGGGCGAACACATCCAAATCCTGCGTGAGCGTACCTGCAATATCCCGGAGCCAGGGATTAACTCCTTGACGAAAGCCTTTGACCCGGAGCCGATGGACATGGAGATCAAGGTCGTGACGAAGGCGCTGGAGTCGGCACCCCGGTGCGGCGTGCCCAGGAAATACAAACTGTGAATTCTGTTCGCAATCTCTGTATAGATCGGATCTCTTCTCGCGAGGAGGTAGGCCTACGGGGTCAGCTAAATATGCCCACCGGAAATGGATTTTGAGCCTACTTTTTTCACCACTGATCCTCCCATGCTGTGCGCAACGAGCACAATCGGCGTCTGCGTGGGAGATCAGCTGTCCATCCGGTGTTGGATCAGGTAACTATCCAACTCACATTGCCATTCTTCTTCAGATTAGGCGAGTTGTACATGTCTGCAAGAAAGGCCTGGCCGAAGTCGTGTATGGTTAGAGTGCTTTGCTGTGACTTGGTCCAGTCCGAGTCATAGCCAAAGCTGTGAATGCGGGCGTGTCTGAATTCCGCTTCAAAGGGCAGCCATTCCTTTGGCCAGAAGGTAGACGGGTCTGAAGAGGCACTCCAGGATCTTCTCGAGCCTCCATTGAGGCCGTGTACCTGGAATCTCAGTTTGCCCTCTTTGACAGTGCATTGTGGGGGGCTCACAAATATAAAATCTACACGTGGTTCAGAAGGTTCATGCAAGAGCGTCAGTCTCAAGGCCCCCTTTGTGCCTTCGGGTGACTGAGACGTTTTAGAACGCGCTGGGGACGTCGCTCGCCGGAGGCTCTGGAGTCTGCCTCGGAGGCTGCTGGGCGATGGCTGGCGGTCTTGATCGTCTTGGATGGAGAGACTAGGGACTCCAAGCTTGTCCCATCTGATGCGCTCCATGTTGAAGAGGGTCGTGGCTGCCAGGTCTGTGCCTTTTACTTCGTTAGTTTTGTTGGGAAAAGGGGGAACCTAAATGTCTTACATGAGCAGCCATGCTACGCTGGCGCTCTGTGTTCTTCCAGACTTGCACAAAACACGGGGATAGATATCCCGGATTATCGGCGAGACTCCTGAATACTTCGTTATCCACCAGCGTACTGATTTAGTGGCACGGAGGACAGATGCACTCTTGGTATCAAGATGGCCAATGTTGAGGGTGAAGGGAACCTGAATCTTAAACTTCGCTCAAACGGAGGATATGCAAAACTCAGGAAAGACTTCTGAGAAGGGAAGACGCGGAAACAAAGCTCGACAGGGCTGTCTACGAGACAAAACCCGAGAACCCAAAGCAGGGGCGGCAGCCGCTGGCAGAGGCACTGGTGGTGGCCAAGATCTGGTGACATCTTGCCTTTGAGGCCGTCTCGCTGTGGGGAGTCTGAGTATGAGGTCCCCTTGGCATTGTTCCGTGGTTTTAGCTGAGATCTCTTCTTTTGACTCCTGAGTGGAGACTGCTGATTGACATGGACTCTTCGAACAATGTGCATCATGATTGAAGTTGAAACGCTCGGCTGGTCATGACCCGGTCTTGAACCCGAAGATTGCCATCCGGCTGGGTCTGTCAGCGCCGCAGGAGAGTCAATGTTTCTGTATCTGCGACAGTAGATACGATGAGAACCCTGTTCTGCCGGAATGCGGATATCAGACGATTATTGGGTTTTGATTAAATTCCCGTTGGGTCCTGAATCAAGATATTCGTTTCTGAGATTGCAAGGCAGATGAAAGGGGAAGTCTGCGCATTCTTCTTCTGCTGGATTGGAAGGAGCTCCCGTGCTGCACAGAGTCTTCCTCTAACACTGTGACCACCCTCGAGGCTCGTTCCCTCCCAATCCCCTTCAGCTTCAACACTTCATCGCACCACCACTCTGTCCAAGCTGAATTCGAAGTGCTGAACATCTAGAACTGGCTCATAACCAACCCGTAATCATCCCCTCCCGGTTTCAAAGGAAACGCGAATCAACATTGCCGCCTTCTCCTTTCTCGCACGTTGGGTTATGCTGGGTGGGAGGAACTGAAACCAACATGACCAGCCGGCAAATGCAGGTGACCTTGTTCACCGACCCAGAATGAGCGACTCAAGGACTGGCTCTCAAAACAACCCCTTTCATTGGCCGTCATTCCAAACTCCGCCCTGCGTCACCAGCGACCGACGGCGCAGGTCGCCGCATGGTTGCAGGCACATTCAGCAAGAGGTTTCTGTGCCGTCTCAACAGGCACGCGACACATAGATTCTCCGGTTATTTTAAAGATGCGTTGTTAATGCCTGAGATCCTGCCTGTTCGATCACCCAAATCTGCCCTTGATCGGGATTCGAACAAGCAGGGCACCAGGTCTGATCAATCATGGCCACCGACGAGAGAGATGTGGATGAGCATCTAAAGCTGGATGAGAATCTTCTTGCTGGTACGTGAATCTCTTCGTTGTCATGCTGAAACTTGAGGCTGACCCTTCGTTCACTCAAGCCCTTCCTGAGGGGGGCAAGGTAGTCTCCGTCAAACCCTCCGGCCTGAGCGACTATTGCAACACCTACCGCATCGAGGTGAAGCTACCGGACGGCAGCTCTCTGGTCTTCTTCGAAAAAGAAGGAACCGGCGAAGAAGGCCAGGGCTGTGTGGAATCGGCCTTCGTATCCGAATCTGCCACCTACGAGTTCATTCCCGAGCATGTCCCACGGCCAATCACCATGGGCGTCTACAAGTCCCGTCCTGACAAGCACTTCTTCCTCGCTCGTTCATCGAGATGATCGAGGACGACATCCCCCGTTCGGAGTCGTACATGTCCGCCGTGGCGGCCCTTCACAGCCGCAGCATGGGCAAGTTCGGTTTCCCCGTCAACACGCGCTTCGGCAATCTCGAGCAAGACAACACCTGGACCGCGAGCTGGGAGGAGTACTGGACGAGGCAGATGAAGGGTTTCCTTGAGCGCGAGGACGCTGCTCACAACGGGGAGCCGCATGAGGAGCTTGAGAGGCTGCGGCCCCTGTTCTTGAACAAGGTGCTGCCTCGGTACCTGCGCCCATTGGAATCTAACGGCCGGTCAGTCACGCCGTGCCTGATCCACGCCGACCTCTGGCTAGGCAACGTCAAGTACATGAATGACGGTGAGACGGTGTGTATGTACGATGCCTGTGCCATGTGGGGACATAATGAAGGTAAGTTTGTATCATGATATATCCCCTCTTCAGGCAGCTAACTGCTGTTCCACAGTTGACCTCGGTGTCTTCCGCAATCCTAGATATCCGCTCGGCAAGCCATACCTGAAGGAGTACTGGAAGCATGTTCCCATCTCTGAGCCGGAGGAGGACGTTGACAGCCGAAATACCCTCTATATGCTCAGGTGCCAGATTCTGCTGTCGATTCTCCACCCGCATGACCACAAGCTGCGTGAGATGTGTGTTTCTCCCTGGCTTAGTAGTGGAGACTGTGGCTGACTTTCCAGCTTCGTAAGCAACATGCGTCACCTGGTGGAGCGAGTGCAAGAAGAGGAAGCCGCGGAGAGCAGCCGGCCGGTAGCTCAGTTTCATCTCCAGGATAATTTTCTCGTGGTGGTAATGTAGGTCCATTTACCCAGTAGGGCCATGGCTTACAGATGAATTCAACCATGTGGTTCTGTATCGCGTTTAGAGAAGCTAATACAAATTGAGACGCGAAGAGCGTATTTACACCCACACTATGGCGCCAGGGACCTCCAGGCGAAAAGCTCTTTAGGGAGCTGGCTTGCGAAGAAACGTACGGAGTTTAGAAACCAAGTACGTCAATCGCAAGACTCTGACCCGGTTCTACCCTTTACGTCTCTATGACAAAGCCACGGCAGGATGGATGCAGTTGCTTCCTGGTACAGCTACCTGTCTGTCTCTCATTTATTATTGCCCATCGCCTGGTGGCTTGTGTCCGCGACTTATTGGACGAACGAAGACAATTCTACACGGGAGGTGAAGTGTCGCAGGTGGTGCTGACTTCAGGGCTAGTTAGTAGTTACTTGTATTGTACTTGTACAATCCAACCGTGGTTTGTTTGTTCATTTAGCGTAGCAGACGGCAGGCCCTAGCGAGAATAGGGGGGATTGGACGGAAGAAGGTGAGAAAAGGAGGAGAGTTGGAAGATAGAAGGAGGAAAATAAAGAAGAACAGAGAGAATAAGAAAGCAACAGCAGGCAGAAAAGAAGGTAGAAGAACTAAAAGCCGAATACAAGACAGTTTTGTTCTCTGCTTCATTGCCGAGTTCTGCGACAATGAATGAATTTAACTTTGACTGGATCCGGCAAGTAGTGTTAATAAGATTAGGAAGGGACCTCAAATGACTAGTAGGGTTCTATAGTGTAGCGGTTATCACTCCGGATTCTGATTCCGGCAACCCCGGTTCGATTCCGGGTAGGACCTTCCATTTTGTCCTAACTCTTTTCATCGCTAGGATAATCTTCAGGCTATAAGTCCACTGTTGATACACGTCAAATCTTGTCTTTTTGCCCATTTTTGCTTTTTTTTTCTCCCCTTTTCCCGCACAATAAAAATGTAACTTGTCGTTGATGTCATGCAAACACGACGGAACTTCGACGCAAACCAATCCGTCAAATGGGGTGGCTTCTTGCCGCATGCACCCTCGCGCCGGTACAAGGTGCTCGAAATCGGTATCAAAATGATCCCTTCATTGAACTATATTCGAGTCTGCGGTCATAATATGGCTAGGTTTGAACATGTGTTGTGAATCAATTGCAGAACCAACATCAATTTTTGGCACTGCAAATCGGCACTGATGAGTATAGATGCCTCATCATCAAGCACAGAACTGAAGACTTTCGCATCGCATCTGTTCAAACTTTAACCTAACTACACTAGGTAAACGTTAGGTATGAATAGTCGGGTTGACAGGTTCTTACGCCCAGCCCGGCTGACCAATGTGCTTGCACTTCTTTCATTACTGCCGCAGACTCGATCATTAAGTTACTCTTTCGATTCCGACTCAACTAAAACTGTATGGCCTCGACCACCCAACCCTTGACTTTGCTCTTGAGACGGTTCATCAGCCGAAACCTCCAGGATGCGACCGACGGAAGTGGCTCGGTGTTCCTCTTCGCCGGGCTCGGGGTCGGAGGGCCTGGACCCCTCGCCAGGAAAGGGAGACGGAACCCTGCGGTCCGGGCCCGATCTGAATGACGACGGAGAGCGCGCGGCAAGCAAGCAGCGAGACCGATGGAACCCAGTCTTGGAAGTCTTCCTTGCCATTGTGTATGACTAGGAGCGAAGGGGGAAGACATCTCGGGAGACTCTCAGCGCTGCACCAGCAGGCACTCGACCGGATTAAAGCGGCATCACCGCTGTGTCATTTGCCTCCTACTTTGTCTTTCAGCATATGCTGTTCGTTGATTACTTGTCCCTCGTTCCCTCATTCTGTCGCCGTAGCTAGTGTCTAGATATTCCTTCCTGAAGGACGACGTAGGTATGCTGGAGAACTTCTCCGCATATCTCATTGCTACCGCGTACCTCTGGATGGAGAACGGCGCAACCACGGACCAAGCCGCATATGACGGCATTAGCCCGGGCTTGGCTGTATGGGACGGCATGATGAAACGCTGCCAGGTGGACAGGCTTAGCTATCGGATGGGGGTGGGAGATATCGTTACCTTACTCTACTGGTATTACACCCGCCGCGAGCCTGTTGATAGAGAGGAGTTCAAGAAGGGATATACGGGATACACAGGCGTACTACAGAAGATGATCGACGAGATCCTGGCGCCGGGACAGACCGCTTGGTGCACAAGCTCTCGCTGGACGTCCATGTGCTCATTCCTCATTATGTCCAGCGGAGAGACGATAGGGAGCGGGTGACGTCGATTGCCAGAGACCCGGCGAGCGAGTATGGGCTATTGATTAGATTTTCTGGACATGACGGCCAGAAGACGACATGAAGAAAGGGGTTTCCGGGGGTTCTGACCGAAACTGAGGTGATTGGCCATAACGGTGACGATTCACGCGGATGCATTTCCGGCGATCAGTTGGGCCGGGGATACCTCCGCAATCGTCATCGGACGAAACTGGAACGATCCGGCACACCTGCCCGACTGGGCCTCACACAATGCGGCACCTGACAATGCCACTTCTCGGCGCCGAGCACATGGTCGCCATTCCCGTACGGAGTCAGTTCGCCAAACGCAACTCGGTGGCGTATTGCGGCGCCACCCCGGGATGCACGACCGGAAGTCTCGGAGCGCACAGCCCACCATGGTTGACGAGACGCTCGGCCACCCGGCATCAAGTTCAGCTAATGCTTGCATGCATCAATTTTCCCGGTCCATTTAAAATATCGACAACAAGTTTGAGACGGTTTCCATCACGACAACAGACCTGAAATCTGAATCTTCTCTGTATCTTCCACTTCCTCCCAGACCGGCCGTAACAGGTTGTGCCAAGCCGGCATGTCAGCGTTGCCCGCGCACCACGGGCATAAAAGCTGACGAAACGCTTGTTCCAAGCGCCAGCCTCTGAAGTGGCAAAACGATGCGACCAGATACCGGTGTTGTCCAAGCTGCATATTACCTCGGTTCTGTCTCGCGTATGCCTGAACCCAATCTGTTGGCCGCAACACCAAGGTAATTGCACATGCCCTGTTTGAGCCGTCAAACAAAAAAGAGGTCATCGTCGATGAGGTCCGTACAGTGAGGACTCAACATTTAGTTCGTGTCTGCCAGACACGCCTGCTCAGACAAAGCACCTTGTTTACGTGCATGGGCAGTTTCTGATGTCAGTTACAACGGGCCTCGCATGTTTTTGAAGGATGGAAATCACAGTGTTTGCGGGGTGGCTGGCAGTATTTCGAGGCCGGCAGAATGGGTGAAAGGAGGAAATGGAGGAACCAGAGTAAGAATCTATCAACTGACCAATGTTTTCTTTTCTGTTTTTACTCTTGTAAGCATGGACTTCGCTGCATGTCTAGCCCTTATGCGAGGAAGATTCGTGTAAGTTTCTGGGCGTATATTGGATACGAGAACGCCAATGTGAGAAGCATTATGAGCTGGTATAGGTTGTCATTCGTTCCGATCATCGGATTTCTTGATTCTATATTCGGGCAGTGTTTTGACTCGGTTGTCTTTTCAGATTCGTTTTCTCGCTCAAGAAAGCCAGAGATGGTTCCGTTTCTTTGGCGCTGCCAGATTGGGCAATTTTTCGCCCCAACTAAGTTTTCGATTGGCTAGAAAAGAGGCCAACCACTTTGTTGCGGCCCCCACGCCAGCTTGGCGCTGTCCCAGAACAAGAATTCTCCCATATCCGTTTGGTGGAACGTCTCCCTCGTTCCAGATCTTGAGGTACAGAGGAATTTAGCTCCAAACAAGACCTAACTCCACCCAACGTGCACCGCATGTTTCATGCCAATCCGTCACACGCAACCCACCGAGTACATGTCAGTCAAATTACAACTGAGGCCTCAGCGAATCAGCTATTCTTCCAATTCGAGTCAAGACCAGTGATCATATTTGCAATCAGACAGCCAGGCAGATAGATACCTTTATCTATACCATGTCGTCGGCCTTGAGAGCGGGCGACGCATGTGGCATACGTCGCCAAATGGGTTGTCCGGCGATGCCGTAGGTGCTACATTCTCCTGCACAGTTCTGCCATCCTCGCCTGCGTGATGGCACAGACGGGGATGCCCCACGGTAGGAGTTTGGACATCTGCCTACATTGTCTTTGAGAACAGATGGGAAACCACAGCCACAGATTGCAGCCACTGATTGGGCACTGGCGTTGAGGGGCAAAATTGCACACGAGCTGTCACGGTCCAACTTCATTCATGCAGCTGGCCATTGGCCATGTCTTCCAAGTTGGGGAGTAATGAGACACGACGGCTCACGTCTTGGCGTACATGCGGATGACTCGCAGCCTCGAGGCTAAGCAAGGTGCGTCACCGACCTGCAACCGCCAATGTTCTTTGTCTTGACGCCCCTAACTACCTCCACTGGATTTTGAAGGTCAAGCTCAACGTACGCCGACGTGGCAGACGACAACGTCAATACAGATGCGCTACTTGCCTCGCCGGTCGGGTCGACGGGCTGGTAATGTTGCGCAGTCGGGCTCCGGCGACGGAATTCCAGAGTGGCCGGTTCCAACTTATCCCCTGGCTTCATCACGGTATCCGCTGGTTGACGGCGCCTAACAGGCAAGTTGCGTCGAGTGACGTTGGGGAAGTATCGGGGTACGGGCCCGGGGAGGGGGGGGGGTTGGGAGGGGTTATGCAGGAGGTTAAGGGTTCCTGTTTTCAAGAACAACCCCCGGAGACTATAACCAGCATTCAGCATTTCAGCGTCCTTCTCAGCACTCCCGCCGCGAGGTGAAACGACTCTAATCACTTTTTTCTTGTTCTATTTCCCAATATGTTTCACTGTCTATCCTTTGGTTGTTCTTCCCTTGTGTCGTATCCCTACCGTGCTGAGACGACATGTGCATCATGCGCAGCCCCAACCCTGAGCCTCAAACCGCCCCTCAGGGCGGAGAGCTGTAAGTCAGATTGATAGATCCGGTTCCTGGATGACTCGAGATCTAATACGTACAGCGCAGTACGTTCTTACGCTGGTTTATAACGCTGACCACCGCCGTCTATCTGAGGAGTCCAGCCAAAAGTCAATGTGACTTCACGAATACGCCCACGGCTACGGCTACCCTTGAACACCCATACCACGCCAGGCCCCGTCGCAACACCTACAACCTCGATCGTTGCCTGGACCAGAACATGTTTGACGATGCCAACTTTGACGGTCGTGCGCCGCACCATGCAGTTCACCCTCATCTCATCCCGGGGCGTGTGTCCCATTCAACAAAGCCAAGGCGGCGATTGCCATCGACGACTTCAACATTGCCTTCGATAGAGCTACTGGAAGCGGTTCAAACGGCCAATGACCTGCGTTCCCTGTCTTTCTTGGCTTTTATTCACCCCGGACGTGCTTCGACTTCAGCGTTCCCCGCCATATAGATCCGCACCTATCCGTAACGCAGCGCCATTCCCCGCTGCTGTGGTTCGTGGATCTCGTGGGATAATAACACCGTACCCATGAACGGCGTCCGCCGCAACTTGCATGGCCCTAGATATCGCTGTTCGGAACTCACCCCGGGTACTCGGCGAACTCTTGGGTATTTGGGTCTGAGCCTACGTGACTTGGAGATTCGGGAAAAAGACGGTATCAGAAGGTTCTGCAGGCTCTGGTTGTCGGGATAATATTTAGAGGTGTAGGAAAAGACGGCATTGTTGTCCTTCAAAAGGTCCTGCAGCATTCTTGCCTCTGATCTTTGTTTCAAAGGTCAACCCGCGAACTTGATGTCGGGAGTCGCCTGACCACAGGCTTCACTCCTTTCGACAGCTCGATTCCATGGTATATATCATCCTACTACTCCAGCTCGCCACTAGTAGAAAGTCCGGTCTTTAACTCGCATCGCACATTCGCAGTTGCCGTGACCTTACTTAGCCGTATCCCGCGCCCTCGCCCAACCGAAGCGTCGGTCGAAAATGCACCCCGTCACTGAAACGACTGATAAGCCCAGAATCATCTTCGAATCCGGAACCCCGATCACAAACCACTCTGGGTAGGTACCCGTGCGACCTCTAAATTTCAGGCTCCCAATGTTAGCAGTTTTGGCAGCTAACTTGAGCATGAACACAACCTTGAACTAGCCCCGCCTCTCCCATCTTCCTTCTTCCAACTCGAACTTCACTTGGTTCCAGTCTTCTTCCATGGCAAGCAGCAACCTACGTCGTCTCAGCCAGGGACCAGCTATGCCAATCGTCGTACCAATTCGCCGACACGCCCGGTCTCTCGGGCCAAATGCGTCGGAAAAGGCGCATGTAGCGGGAGAACCATTGATTTCCTTGAAACTTTTTCAGCCGCAGCAGCCTAAGACGGCGCTCCCTGTCAAATTCCCGGGCGTGGATGACATGGCGGGCATCGTCGCGCACGTCTCGTTCCAGCAGCCAGCGACGGCCGAGGGCAATCACATACGGACGCAAACCCAGGTCCACGGGCATCATGACGCCCCGATGTGGGAAGGATCCCCCGCCTTCAGGTTGAATCATGACGCGCTCCAGCGCGACTGCCGCGCCGTGGCCGTGGTCCCGGGCTTTTGCGGCGCAAATCGTCTGAAAGATGGCCCGCGCGAGCGTCTCGTCGACGGCCGTGTTGACGAGCACGTCGCGGACATGGCCGTTGCGGTACGGACGCAGGATACAGGTCAGAGTCTGCCTGTCGAACTCGTCAAAGGAAGGGTCGACAGCTGTGTCCATATCATAACAGCCTTGTTCGTCGGGAGGCGTGCCTTGAAACCAAGGAGGAGGGGACGCGTCAAGAGTGAGGACAAGGCGGCGGAGGTTCGCGAAGCGGCCGAATGCTTTGTACAGCGCAACCTCGGCGGCGTCGCCGCGGGAACGGCGGATCTTGAGGGCTAGCGTCTCGACACGTGGGCAACGGGCAGCTAGTTCAAGGATGGCTGCTTCACTTAGGCTCTGGCCCAGCACGTCCTGCGTTCGCAGCCACAGTTCCCGCAGACCGGGGGGTAAAGCCGTGGCGAGAGACATGGTTGCTGGCCATGCGATGACCTCCAGGTTGGTGAGTCGGGGTAGACCGTGGATGAACTGTTTAACGTCGTCGTAGTACGCATTTTCTTGTTCCTCTGCGCAAGTGAACAACAACGTTGTCAAGCAGGGGAAGCTCTTGGCTCGCATGAGACCCCATAGCGCTTCGTGGCTGACAATTCGGCTTATTCTCAGGGCGCGCAGGAAGGACAACTCCGTAGTGGCTGTCCAGCTGTCAACGACCTCCTTATCCAGGGCGAGGCGAAAGCAGGTTGAGAAGCCGAAGTTTTCTAGAGCAAGACTTTTGAGTTGAGCTCGCCTGGAGGTCAAGTCCTCGCCAACATTGGTGAAGCCCTTCCACGGAGGGCGGGGCGGGAGCGGATTTCCGGCATACTCGTAGGACTCGTAGTCAAACCGTCCCTTAAACATCTGTACTTCTTTCAGATTTGGTGCCAGGCCTTTCACCATGCTATATACGGCCTCGGCATGGTAATCTGGCTGGTCGTAGTCGTCGTAGCCATCAGTGTACCACACCCAAATGCCATACAGGCATGGTGCTGTCAGAAGAGCCAGCTCCTCAGGATCTGTTTCCGAAAGATGGAGGCTGCGCAGTCTAAAAGTGTAGACACGGAGTCGGCAGCGCGGCTGATATTGGAGGAGCGCGTGGAGAAGGCAGGGCGGCAACTGAGAGGGGACCGCGTACAACACGTCACGCAGACCCTGAAGTCTCTGTACAAGGCTTGCCAACGATTGCCAAGCCGTGTCCGTCAGGATGGCGATATGGGGGGACGTGGCATGATACACGTTTGGAACGAGGGCAGAGCGGCGCTCGAGGCCTTGTAGCCTGTCTTTGTCGCCGTCGACGATCTCGGATAAACTCAGCGGGAGACCAAGAGACCAAGACCGGGTGCCGCCGCGGGCCAAGCTAAGAGCACCGTCGTTCTTGTCCCTGCCGCGGCTCGTAATCAGCAGAATTCGAACGTCGGAGAATGACGTATTGCGTTCCAGAATGCTGATACACTCGCCGACATCGAGTTCCAACTGGCGCCCGCTGTTGGCCGAGAATCGGATGGTGTGGAAGAAAAGCCTCTTGGCGACGGAATGGCAGTGCTTGCTGGCCAGTGCGAAGGATAGCAGACTGGGGCGGTGCGAAAGTCCGATATATTCGCAAACCCTAGCCAGAAGTTCTAGTGGGATAGTTTCCAGGAGTGAAGGAGGCATTGTGGATCCGGGATGGAAACCGAAAACCTGGAGCGTGGTAACTGGGGGAAGGCTTTCTTACAGGCCTCACTGGAGAGTGGGCGCCTGTCACGGTGGGAATCACTTTTCCTGCCTTCGTTGGGGTGATAGTGCGCCAGCTGGGGCCTGCAGGTGCCAGTTGTCAGGGTTCTGCCTCTGGCTCAATTGGGTGACTTGTTTAAGGTGCATTATCAGTGAGTGGCCTATCAGTGTGTGGCCCACTTCCTACTACCCTTGCTATGGCTACCCCCGATGACAACACCTCAATACTAGGAAGCAACTACAATTACATCAGAAACAGCTGAATCAGATGATTCTGCAGCATCTTGGCAAGTACGTGCATTATGGCCAGGCTTGCCGCACACACCACAGCACCGAACCTTCATACGAACCCCCCCGGCACCATTACTATCCGGCTGCGTTTCTTCCACTCCCTCTCCACCCATGGCTTTCTGGTCCAGTACATCCTTTGCATCTCGCACAGTAAGTGATCATCCGAGCTGCACGCGGGTTTTTTTTTTAGCTCTCCGGCGCTTGCTTAGTGCCTCGTTGGCCTTACGGAGCAAAGAGAGACCTCTGACCGAAGGAGAGCCACCTCGTGCATTACAGCGATCGTACCCTTAGTAAGCCGGTCTACAGCAGTCAAGATCGAAGTCGGGGAGCTATTTTGATGGTTGGCAATGCGGGTCTTAATGAGATTTGACTGCGACTCGGCCTTTGGGGGGTTGTGTGGTGTCTAAAAGACCCAGGGTTGTGTAGTGCTAGGCGGTGAGTTCGGAGATATTGGTGTACGACGCTTCACATCCAACTTGGAGAGTACTCTCTCTGGATCGTATGGTATAAGACAAGTCCCTGCAAAGCCACCCCGTATATTCTTCTCCGTCATGGAGGTGGAGAAGGCCTCGCGGAAGGCATAGAGGAACTCGAGCTTGCTCACATGGGTGATGTGCATGCGCATCAAGTCCTCGATCTGGCGACCATACGCCTGCTTCAGCGGCCCAAAGCAGCCGACATCGAGAGGCTGGAGCTTGTGGGAAGAGTGCGGAGGCATGCAGAGCGTGATGATGTTGTTCTGCTGGCAGTAGAGCTCGAATTCGGTCGAGTGGTGGCTTTCGTGGCCGTCGAGGATTAACAACCGGTATTTACCCTTCGTATGAGGTGCCGTATGGGAGTCGAAGTGCTTGATCCAATCCAGGCCTACCGCATTGGTAGTCCAGCCGTTCTCGGTGGTCGCGATGCGCCAGTCGGCTGGGAGGTTGCACTCGGTGTACCAGTTGGCGAGGTGGTACTGCGCAGCTAAGATGATGAATGGAGGGATAGCCCAGCCGAGGGCATTGACGCCCTGGATCACTGTTGCCCATTCGCGGTTGCCAGGTTGGGCCAGCTTCGCTTTGCCACGGCCATCCGAGGTTGTAACCACCATGCCCGCGTAGATGATGCCCATCATAAACCCAATCTCGTCGAAGTTAAAGACGTCGTCATCGACAATGCCGTACTTGGCCTTAGTGTTCCATACGAGTGTAGACCACTCGCCAATGACCTTTGGATCCTCGCACTTGGCCCTCTGATAGTCGTATCTACGTGTAAAACGCATACGGAGCTCTGGCTGTCGTTTAACGAATCGATGTGCCCAGAGCTTGCCAACAGGAGACGCGTCGCGTACGCGTAGTAGTTGGTTGGCCATATCTTCCATACCACTCAATCTTGGGGGAAAAGCTCGCGTACATAGCTCGACTATGTATCGAAAAATAGCCTCCTCTTCTAATTGAGTGATCTTCTTCACCTTGGGCGTGGTGTCGCATCGTGCAGGCTTGCCGGCGCGTCGGCGTGCTAGAGTCTTACGTGAGACCCCCTAGATCTTAGCTGCGGTTCGTACGCTTAGATTCTTGTCATTTTGAAGAGCTTGAAGGGCCAAGATTATCTGGCCTTCTTTTAAAGTAGGTGGCATCTTGGGTAGTAGAGGAGATTTGTTGTCAGGAGCAGAGGTCTCACGTGGCGTAGAAAGTGGGCCACTCACTGATAATGCACGTTACAGTAGTTTGACTTGCTACATTCTTCTGACTTGGGCTTAAGTCAGAACCTGCTACAATTGACAGACGAAGAAAAACAATCTCACTTAACATCCGGACTATTCGTCTCCGAAGCCGTTCGCCATTCGCCGTCCGCCCATACCCGCCGAGCCGCGGCCAGAATGATGCCGCGACTTTCAAGGTAACCCAGCTTTCGCGATATAGCGAAACATTGGTCTTCGGGATGCTGTGGTATGTCACTGACGAGGGTGTTGTTGACGGCTCACGGTGTCCTGCTGATCTCCGAAACTGGAAGCACGCCAGGTTCCCATAAACCATTCTTGCTGGTAACCTCAGACCGGTAATGCTCCTTGAGAAACCAGTGTAGTTATGCTCATAGGGAGGCTGAACCCCTCGGCTCAACCTTTTGGCCATCCGCTAAAAGGCAAGATCTCCCAAATAATAAAACTTACGCGTGCTCAAGATCCGGGCACTGTCCGTGGAGCAGAGCTATGATTTAGTAAACCCTGTAGATGAAGGTCAGAGCGTGAGTCAGGCCACTAGCAGGCGCTTGCGGTCCCTGTTTCGGGAACTGAGCAGCCGATAGATGCTGTGCTGCTATAAACGCGCCAGCAGCGGTTGCAGATGGCCTCAGGCGAGAGGAAAACTGAGACAGTAGCTATAGAGGAGTCAGTTGCATTAGGGAGACCTCGGCGGCTTGCGTCCTGGGGTTTCGCCGTGTGTTGAAGATCATATCAAATCTTCAGGCCCTCGAGCCCTTGCATGGGACAGGATGACCGCCCCCACCCCTCCAACTGAAGGGAGAGGAGGAGGACCGGCCCAGTCACGGCACTCAAGCGGCCCCCCGACACCTCCTCGTTCCCCCCCACCCTCTGACATCGACGCTATCAAGAACATGATCGACGGATTGGTAGCATTGGCAAACTTAGAGAAGAAAGGGACCGCCAGAGGCATGGGGCAAGACCTCCTCACAGCTGTTCGCAAGCTATACAATGCGACCCAGAACCAAA